TGCTTCTGTTGCAGCCTTGAGCCCTCCCTGTCCCATGGGATGGCCTTGACTTACCAGTAACCTCGAGGCCTCTGTCAACAGAACCCCAAAGTCCTTCCTCAGGCCTATGTGGGCAGGACCTGGGTGTTGGAACCCGCGTGTGAGACTTGACCTCCTCCTGTTAGGTTTCCGCTTGTCATACCCTTTGCTAGTTTTTCAAGGTCTTCCGAGCTCCTCCTGTCTTATTAGCACGTTAGTACCTCTCCAACTTGTCACCTGGGAGGCCTGCCTGATGTTCAGGTCATTGTTACACATGCTAACCAAGAGAAGCAAGATGCTGGAAATCCTCCTTGACTCTGGCATGGCCCAGCATTGCAGAAACCTTTGGATGTGTGTCTGACTGGACTAGCATGCCACTTACATTGCCTCTCCTTGCCCACGGGGTGTCGTCGGTCCCTGGTCCCTGCGATTCCATGTGGGTGCCTGGCTGTACTTACTGTCTTCCCGTTTTTCCTGATAGGCCTGAGGACCTGCACCCTGAATTGCTGGGAATGTGGGCTTGCTCCTAGTGGTCACTTGTCTTCTAGCTCTTCAAACCACTCGTCCAGCTGTTCATTAGCCCCTTCCACAGTCTTACCTGAGGCCTGTGTTGCCCCCACTGATCTGCAGGTCACAGTGTCTTACCCCATCGGAACATAGGCTGCATTGCATACTTCAGCCTCATAGCACCTCCCCAGGTTCCTTTTGGTCCCGAGAGATCACCAGCTGTGGCTCACGGTCCTCATTTGCATGGCCGAGCATTAGAATCCCCTGTCTCTTGCTGTACAAGCGAGGGTGAGATGGGAGATCGAGGCTGGGCTTCTTCCCCAGCAAGTCACGCTGAGACCCCTGGCAGTTCTGATGCACCTGGCGAGCTTGTGCACCAGTGGCTGGAGTGGAGATGCCTCCTCTTTGAAGGCCGGAACTCCTGTGAGCAGCATGGTTCTCTCTCCTGGAGCTGCCCCTCCGCCCCTCCCCCCCATGTTTCCAGGCTGTTGCGAGCAGCCCCTGAGCCAGCCATTTTCAACGGTGTGTGTGCCACGAGAATGTGTAAAACACGCAGCCCTTGAGTGTTTAGTCAGGGTCACTGACCTCTTTTCCCTTAGATTGTCCAGTGAGAAATGACAACAGCCAACACAACAATAGCCGTCTGGTGTGAATGACTCAAAATTATGCCTGTTTTGTTTTTGTTAGATTGGCAAAAGATATATTTTTGGTGTGCCGCAGAATTTTAGTAATTAGTTTATGTGCCATGAGATGAAAAGGGCTGAAAATCCCTGCACAGGAAGCTGGAATGTGCTGGGGGAGGGGAAGGTCTGGCATGGGGCACGGGGTTGTAGCCAGTGGGTGGTCTTTCCTCCCCTGACCGCACACTCCCCTTTTCCTGGGTCCAGCAGGTGCAGCTTCCTCTGTAACTGAGGGGCAAGGTGAGGACAGGAAGGGGGGAGGTGAAGTGGGCCTGGAGTGGGTCTGTGCCGAGGTTGGCCTGGCCCCCAGTCCCCTCGTCAGCTCAGGTGGGTTAGCTGGAGCCTGTAGGGTGGGTCTAAGAAGGGCTGGGAACCGGATTCCTAAGCATGTTGCCCGCGTCTGGCTTTTCCAGCCCGTGGGAGAAGTGCCCCTTGCCCTCCTTTGTTGTAAGCATGGTTTGCTCCGCAGATATCTGTCTCGCCTCAGGAAGCAAGGGGATGTGAGGGGCTGTCTCCCTGGGACGTGAAGGGGCCCGGCCCCCTCAGTGGCCGGTGCTTTCCCGGGCCTCCCTGGTCAGGCTTACGGCAGGAGGTGACCGTGATGAAGAAGCCACCAGGGTCAGCTGGAAGACCATCAGCAGGGCCCTGCCTCCCGTCCGCGTCTCCTGGCGGGGCTGCAGCTGGCAGCCTGGGCTTGGCGGTGGTTCCATAATTGGAGCCCAAGTCATTAAAAAGCCATTACTGTCTCCTCATGGCTGTTGTTCAGTGTGGCCTAGAACAGTGCCTGTGGGAAAGAGGCGGGCTGGGCACGTGGGTGAGAAAGGAAGATGCCTAGGAGAGGTGCTAGACTGGGAGATGCGCAGGCAGGGCCGTTGGTGGGGAGGGGCTGGGCCTGCCGAGGAGGTGACCGCAGACAGCCATCATTGTTGTCACTGTGCTCCACGACACGTTGCTCTCATTCACCGGGACAGATGCAAGCTCCAGACACATCCGTGTCAGGCAGAAACATGCCGCCAGGACGAGCTTGTCCCTGCCAGGTGACCGCGGTCCGCTCGGACCTCTGCAGCTCTAGAAACACTGAACCTGCTTCACTCCAGTGCTGTGCCCGCTCCCGGCGTCTCCTCATTTAGGTGGACTTCTCTCGGCCTCCTGGGTGGTCTTGCTCAGCCAGGCACACTTACCTCCTGGGCACATGCTGCTGCTGCCCGGCTGCCACCCCAGCCCTGGGCTCCATCCTGCCCGGCTGCTGCACCAGGCCTGGTGGTGAGTGAGGGGGCAGGCGGGCAGCTCTCTAGGAACTTCCGGGATGTGTGAGCGCTCCCATGTTCTCTGCAGGCCAGGGTGCAGCCTGTTCGATCTAGACTCTTACCTGGGGACCGTGTTATCAAAGGCTGCGGGGTTGTCGTTGCCCCCATCAGGGAATGCAGGTGGGGACAGGAAAGGAGTAATGTTCTCATGGAAAGCAGCTTTCTTCCTTGGGTGCCGCGTGTGGAAAGTCCATGACAGTGGGGGCAGTGGCCTGTGGTAGGAAGACACCCCGGGCACTGGGCAGCGAGGGCACCATGGCTAGGACCACCTGTTTTCAGTCCGGCAGCCCCGGTGACCCAGCAGTTCTGGAGGTGGCTTTGCTAGTGTGAGCTTACCTCTCAGCTGGATGTCCCCTTTTCTAAATGACCCATGCACTGTGGAAGTCATCTTTTTCCTGCTCAGCCACGCCCAGTGCCAGGGATGACCCAGATGACTGCCCTTGGCCCTGCCCTGTGAACGCGCAGATGGCTGGCTTCCTCCCAGTGAGCTGTGAACCGGCCTCTCCTGTGCAGGAAGGGGAGCCGGCCCTGCGTGGAGGTGGCGGGCTCCTGTGGCCAGGCCGCCAGCACAGGACTGAGGTTGCAGGCAGCCCCTGCGTGCCCAGTGGGTCTCGGGCCGTGGCTCCTGCCAGCCAGGGGTCAAGCAGAGCCCAGACTGCAGTGTCGGAATCCCGGAAGTGCTGTGAGCATGCCCAGCTCACGGCAGACCCGGACGGTGGTGTCTGGGACTGACCCGCGCGGGCCGTGTGTCAGCAGAGGCTCTGCCCTTGTGCTGTTCAGACAGAGCAGCGCTTGTAGGTGGAGAGACATGGGCGAGTTGTCGCCTCTCAGACCCGGCAGGGTCCATGGCACCTTGCTCACTCCGTGCCTTCCCTCACCTTCCGAATCCTGCTGCTGCCCTGCAGCCTGTGGTGCGTGCCTGCGCGACGGGACTCACCGTCCCGGCCAGCCTGTCCTCGGTCCTGGCCGTGCCCTCAGGGAGTGCCAGGGCGGCTGTGTGGGTTAGGCAGGTGGGCAGTTTTAGGAAGGCTGAGGTCTGACGTTGAGTTTTCTCCCGGGCTGTGGTCGCTGAGGTTTGGCGAAGACGGCTGTTCTGTGCTCAGTGCAGACCACAGTCAGGGTTCCTCTGGGTGCAGAGCACCCGTGTGCGTCACGGAAGGCCTTCCAGATGGAGGCAGGGTGCTGTCGGTTTAAAACATGCCGAGCCCTCATTGGTTGTGTCCGGGGCGAGGTGGTGGGCTGTCTGTGATCATGGATTTCCTGCCGCTCTCTGGCCGGCTCCCCCTGCCCACAGAGATGTCAGTGGTTTGGATGAGCGGAAGGGACATTAAAGGTCGATGATTCTTTCAGCCAGAAGGGCTGCTATTGCTGTCAGGAGGGGATGGAGATGGCTTTTCCTCGTCCTTGGGGTGCTTTGACCCCGTCTTTCCCTGTCCGTGCACACTGGACTCACTTGCACACGCGCACGCGCACCTCTTACACGGCTGCTTGCACAGGCAGATCCACTCACACACTTGCACACTTCCCGATGTGTGCACGCGCACGAGGTATACTCAGCCTCACACACACACCTCATGCACTCGGGTGTGTAACTGGGCCAGCGTGGCCTTGGGATTCCCAGAGCTCAGTCCTCAGGCTCCAACCCCGTCCCGTGCAGCCGTCCTGACCTTGGGGCCCACAGAACTTGGGGCCTAGGTCCTGTGTATGTGTCTGGACTAGAAAGAAAATTAAGTGGTGGAATGACCACCTCCCTGCTCGTCTCTGCCCTCTTGGGAGGCAGGGCCAGCTGTGTGAGACAGCGCTGCCTGTCCTGCCGCCTCAGGGACTCGAGGGCTTGGTGCTGCCTGGTGCCATGGCCGTGGCCAGGGAAGGGCCCAGTGGCTGGTTGCTGGACCGTGTGTTGATGTGCTGTGTCTGCTCTGATGTCCCCCCCAGCCCTAGTCCTGCCCCGAGGGACTGACTGACTGGTCACATGGCCTCTCCCAGAGGAGAGGACCCTCAGCCTCAGTGCGCAAGAGTTTGCTTTGAACAGATGGGGAGGGGTCTGCCCCAGAGGACCCAGCTTTCCCCTGACAGGACAGAGACAAGGGGAAGAGCTGGTGAGGGCGGAGAGGGAGCCGGAGGGCTGGTCCCGGCGCAGAAGCCTGGCCTTGGGCCTGGCTTGTGCCCGATGCCTTGGACAGGTTCCCCTGGAACGCAGTCAGGCCCTGCTCCGGGGCCCAAGAGGAGTCTCCTGTGCGTACCGGGCAGGCTGACTGGGAAACCCTCGGGGCACAGGGGTCCCAGCAGGAGACGGGCGCCCAGAGCCACAGAAACACAGCTCAGGCCGCTGTCTGGAGCTCGTTTCCACGGTGGCCTCACACCCGTCCTCCCTCCTGTGGGCAGCAGCCAGAGGGGAGGGTGTAAAGAACCCAGGGGTGCTGGCTGGGCTCTGGGCTGTATCCTGGCACCTGGTGGGCGGGTGCTGATACGCTCTCTCCCTCCGCAGTGTCTTAGATGATGAGGGCAGCAACCTGAGACAGCAGAAGCTTGACCGGCAGGTGAGTGAGGCTGGGCTGGGCGGAAGGGTGGTCAGCACGCCCATCTAGGCCAGGGTCTGTGCTGGGATCTCCAAGGACACAGCAAGGGGGCTGCCCCCTTCCTCCGGTGGCCCTGACTGGTAGCGAGGGGGCCCTCCCAGAAGCAGCTCTCTCCTTTGCCAGCTCCGCGTTGGCACTGACCAGTACCTGGCGCTTCTGCCAAGCAGACCGCTGGGGGCTGTGGTTGGAGGGCTGGATGTCTGTCTGTGGTCCTGCCAGGACAGCTTCCTGGACTGAGTTTTGACTCCTTTTCCTGGACCCCGAGTCTTGGGGCACCAAGGACCTGAGGCGTGGGCCCAGCCTGGGCTTCGGACCCCACTGTGACCTTTAGAAGCAAGCTGAGCAGGCAGGGCCTTCTCTCTGCCCCATCCGGGAGCCCTCCCTCCGGCGGAGGCGGTGGGCTGCCTTCTCCAGCCCAATGACCTCTGAGCCTGTGCGGTGCCTCTGCAGCGGGCCCTGCTGGAGCAGAAGCAGAAGAAGAAGCGCCAGGAGCCCCTGATGGTGCAGGCCAATGCCGACGGGCGGCCCCGAAGCCGGCGGGCCCGGCAGTCGGAGGAGCAGGCCCCCCTGGTGGAGTCCTACCTCAGCAGCAGTGGCAGCACCAGCTACCAAGGTACACCCTGCCCTTGGGACAGCCCTCCTGGGAGGCCTCTTGTGGCAGCTCCACACCCTTCGGGGGCTTTGGCTAATCTGGGCAAGCAGGGGTCATCAGTCAGCAAGTGTCCAGGTGGACAGCTGAGTGGGGCAGGCAGAGGGAGGCTGGTACCTGGAGCCAAAATGAAAACTTTATGGATCTGGGGGTTCAGAAGTCCAGGTCTCTGATCTGGAGAATTTCACCGAGAGCAGGAGGCAGCTCCTAGGAGCAGAACAGTCTGCTCCCCACTGGTGTTCTGCCTCCCGAGAGGTGTCCACCTCAACATCCTACACCAGCTAGTGTCTCCTGCGACAGACGCCTAATGCCTCCCCTGCTGGGCCCCCGGCACGCTCGGTTGACCTGCACGGAGCCGTGGTGACCAGCAGCCTCCAGCTCTCATCTCTGCGCACTCTGCTTCTCAGCAGAGCCTACCAGGGGGACTCTCTGCAGCGCATCGGGGGTGGGGCAGCGGTGGCCCCACTGCCTCGCTGAGCTCAGGAACCCACCTGTGGTTAGGGTAACAGTACCCCAGGCCAAACGGAACCCACCTGTGGTTAGGGTAACAGTACCCCAGGCCAAACGGAACCCACCTGTGGTTAGGGTAACAGTACCCCAGGCCAAACGGAACCCACCTGTGGTTAGGGTAACAGTACCTCAGGCCTCCTGATCCCGAAGGAGGGACCAGATTCAAAGGAAGTCATCTCAGTGACTTCTGTCAGGTGGGGTTGTAAGAAGGTGGCATCTGGCTTTTGCAGATGGAAGGAACCTTAGCAACCTGGGTGCCCCCTCCTCTGTGGATCCTTAGGACCTGCAGCCTCCAGCCACTTCGAGCTACTGGTACTTGCCTCAGCTCAGGGCCAGATCTTTCTGATCTGACTGCTGGGCCCACCCGGCTGCACAGTGTCTCGGGTTCCGCTAACCCAGCCCTGAGTGCACTGGAGGGCAGCACCTAGTGCCCAGTCTTGGCACAACACCCTGGACAAGCTCCAGTGCCCTCTGTGTGTCCTTGTCCCACTGAGGAAACCCGTTCATGATGATAAACGCATGTGCTGGTGGCTAGCATGGTGCTGGGCTATCTCATTTATTCCCCAAGTAACTCATCATCCCCACGTGGTCAGTGGGCCTGTGGGCTCCAGGGGGGCTCCGGCTTGCCCATGGTCCGTTGCTAGTACGCACCGGGGTGAGGCTGTGAACCCAGGCCTGTCAGACTCCAAATGGCCTTTCCACCTTGTTCCGTCACCTCCCTGACTGGAGGCTCGGCCATGGGGATCCCCTTGTGGGCTCTAGTTCAGCGTCCAGGGCCGCAGCCGGCATGTCTGTACTCCACCTGGAGGCCCTTCCGAGGCGGGGACAGGACCTCAGCCCTGCGCTGCTGTTGTGGACAGCAAGCTCCGGCTGTTCCCGCAGAAACGCCCCAGCCCCACCCTCTGCTGGCAGCCTCCTCCTCGCACCTCCTCTGTGAGCTGTCCCAAGGTGGCAGTGGTGTCCTGCAGAGAAGGCCCCTGTGGTGGTGGCTCCTGGGGAGCCCGCTCTGCGCCCCAGCTCTGCCACGCCTGGCACCTGACCTTTCGAGGCTGCACGGGACGGGGTGGACCTGGCTCCTGGGACTTCAGGCCCTGCCAGTTTGGGCCACAGGCCAACACCTTGAGGCACTGAGAGAGTCTTACAGGTCACCAGTGTGCAGTCATTTTGGCAGGTGCTGTTTGTGCCAGGCCTGCAGGAAGGACCAAAGTCAGAAGACAGAGTTTTTGGTCATGCCACTACCGGTCACCTGCTCACCTGGGACTGTGAGCAAGTCATCCCTTCACCCCTCTCTGGCTTTGTTTGCTCCTCTGTGAGAGGAATTCTGTCTCCAGACTTTGAGCATGGAAGCAGCCACTACGTGTTTCAAGCTGCATACTGTTCTCTGCGGAGGGTCCAGACCAGGCTGGGGCGAGCTACTTCTGCTCAGCTTGGAGAGGCCGACACAGCCCTGTGAAGGCCACCGCGTGTGGCTGGGCTGGCCTGGGATGGGTGTTACCTGGAGCACCCTGACCCCACCCGCAGCCCCGGCTGCCTCCTGCGCTGCCCTCTGCTGGCTCTGGTGTTAAATACAAGAGGAGTTTGACAAAAATGAGAACTGATGGATGGGTTTACCCTGGTAAATAGTTTTTGAACTACTGGCCATGCTCATCCATTGTAAATATTCACCTGATTCCTTTTTTTTTTTTTAATCCTCATCCGAGGACATTTTCACATTTATCTTCAGATAAAGCAGCGGGGAGAGAGGAGGGAAGAGAGAGAGAAATATCAATGTGACAGACACACATCGACTGGTTGCCACCCACACGACCCCAACCGGGGTTGGGGACAAACTGCCACCTAGGTGCATGCCCTTAGCAGGAACTGAGCCTCGAACTCTCTGGTCTGCGGGCCGATGCTCCAACCACTGGGCCACACTGGCTAGGGCTGTTCACCTGATTCTTAGGTGTTTACTGAGGGCCTGCTTTGCGTCAGCTTCCAGATTAGAGGCTGGCGACCAGGGCGAGCACAGCTGGGCACGGTCACCGTTCTCTGGTGGACCGTATGGTCAGGGCGGGAAGAGAGTTAAGCAGATTGTCACCGGTGTGCTCTGCGGAAAGGGGCCAGGCCCTGTGCGTGAATGGCAGAGCCCTGCTCGCAGACTGGGGGCCGAGGCCGCCAGGGGCTGGGACCTGCAGGCTGAGTGGGAGGGGCGGCAGCCGAGGGCAGTGGGGCAGTGGGCAGCGCGGGCCAGGCCCCGGCGGGACAGCCGGGTGCACAGGCACCGGAGGAGCACGGTGTGGCTGGACTTGGAGGCTCCGGGAGGTGAGGCGTGCACAGTCAGGCCAGGCCGAGGGGAGGGAGATGGACGGGCCAGACCTGCAGGAGAGGTCGGTCTTCATCTTCGGGCGACCAGAAACCATCCTGAGACTTGGGGCAGATTAGGGTTCTGGCAGGCGGAGAATTCGGAGACCACCCACCTGGGGCTTCCGAGGCCTGTGAGTGCGTGCAGCTCCTTGTGTGCGGAGTGACGTCCGTCTCAGGGCGCTCTGCACCCCGCGGCCCCGGGCTGGTCCCGCGAGGGCCCTGCAGGCCCTGGGAGTGCCGGCCCTCATGGCCTCTTCCAAGAGCTGCTGCCTTTTCTGTCCTCATCCACGGCCTTGATGATCCGCTCTCCGGACACTCTCCTGCCCCTGCCCAGGCTCCCGCGGACAGCTGGCCCAGAGCTCCTGGTGGATCATGGTGTGGGCGGGCAGGCTGGGGGGCGCCTCCCTGCCCTGGGCACCTGTGCCTGGAGAAGATGGGGTACAGAGGCCTTCTGGGGTTCGGTACGGCAGAGGACCTGGGAGACGTGCTGACGTGTGCTCCAGCCGGAGCTCTGGTCTCACCTCGTGCCCCCTTCTGTCTGTCTCCTGCGCAGTTCAGGAGGCCGACGCCCTCGCCAGTGTGCCGCTGGGGGCCGCCCGCCCAGCACCAGCCTCAGCCAAGAGAACCAAGGCCGCGGCCGCCGCAGGGGGCCCGGGCGGGGCCTCCAGGAAGGAGAAGAAGGGGAAGCACAAAGGTTGGCTCACCACCCCACACACACCCGCAGCCTCCTTAGGAGGCCTGGCCCCCACTGGAGGGTTGGGGGAGGCTTATCTTCCCGACATGGAAGTCAGGGGCAGGGTAGGGGGTCCCAGCGAAGGTACCAGATGACACTCGGGGCCCCACCCAGCTGGCTCACAGGCCTCAGCTAGCTCATGGGCACCTGGGCTGGCCTGTGGGTGAATCCAGCTCCCTGTGGCCCAGGATCCCCTTTCTCTGCCTGCCTGAGAATCCTCTTCCTCCGCTGTCCCGTGGGGCGCTGCCTCCCAGGCAACCTGGCCGTCCACGCGCAGCCTCCAGTCATGTGGGTTTGCGCACTCCGGCCCCGGTTCCACCCTCCGGGCCCACAGACCAGCCGCTTCCTTGCTCCTCCTCCCAGAACAGGTCCCCGGGCATCAAGGACAGTTATGGTGGCCCCGCCCCGAGTCCTTTCCTCAACCCGTGCTTGCCGTGGTTCCCAGGCCTCTGGTCATGGGGGACAGTGGGGTGCCAGGGTCCCCAGGCTTCTGGACTGCTGCATTTTGGACGTAGCCCCCCAGACAGGGTGGCTGCCAGCTGTGTGGGCCAGGCCTCGCTTCTGTTCCTGGAGCTGTGGCAGCTGGGGAGGAAGGGGGACATGGAGCGGGAGAGCCTCCGTTTGGGAAGGCCAGGGTACGCCGGCCTCAGCCTTCTCCAAAGGCCCATGTGTTCCGGTGATGTGTGAGCTGACTGTGTGCGAGAGAGAATGAACGTCAGCACTGGTAACTGGCCACATCGTGAACGGGTGGTGACCCCGCTGTGCTCGGGATGGATCCTTGTTCTCCGTCTTGTCTTCTTCCCTCTGTGGTTGGCTTCGTGGATGGCTGCCGTCTGCCCAGGGATCTGAGGCATTTCAAACGGCCTCCCAGGCAGCTGATTTGGGGAACAGCCGCAGTAACAGAACCCGTCCCTTCCTGGCTTACCAGTCATGGAGAGGCTGTCAGCAATCATTCGTTCTCTAAAAGTCAGTTTTGCAAATAAAGTTTTGCAGAGGGGTGGGTCCCCCCACTCATCCCTCACCCACTTCCTGGACATCTGTGGATCCAGCCTTCCCCTCCCCTCCCCACTCCCGGATGGGATTCAGGAGTGTCCGTGGCCTGCAGGCACCGGCGGGCCAGTGGCTCTGGCAGAAGACAAGTCTGAGGCCCGAGGCCCAGTGCAGATCCTGACTGTGGGCCAGTCGGACCACGCCCAGGACGCAGGGGAGACAGCAGCTGGAGGGGGCACACGGCCCAGCGGGCAGGACCTCCATGCCACGATGCAGAGGAAGGGTGAGCCCCATGGGGGTCCAGTGACACCCCCAAAGCTCAGTCCCAGGTTCTCAGATGCACCCTTCTTGGGGAGCATGGTCCTTCTGTCTGTTCCAGACCCTGGTGGGGGACCCACTTGGAGACCAATGAGAAACTTGGGTAGGGGCCCCTGATGAGGCCAAGTTAAGGGAGAGAAGTATGAGCCAGGGTAACCAACACAAGTCCTGTCTCCCCACCCATATTACCTGCCCCCAGAGAGGCCCAGGTTTGGGGACAGATTTTCTTTCCCTTTGGTTCCTTTGAAAAAGTTTCTTTTATAAAACGTTCCCCCATCTGCAGAGCTAGGGGAGCAGGGCCAGGATACCGAGAGGCAGGGCCGATCCCCCGGAGCCCTGCTCCCTGGGTAACTGCCCCACTGTGAGCCCTGCCCCGGTGCCTCTGGCTCGGGGTGGCGGAGGGAAGCCTGGCAGTGCCCCACGTTCTCAGGAGTCGGATCAGGGACCGTTTCCTCGAGAAGGGGCTGTTGGGGTAAGTTGAGGCTGGAGACGGCTTTCGGGTGGGGAGCAGCACACAGACAGGAGGAAGGCAGGCAGGGGAGAGGGGGGGAGCCAGCCCTGCGCTTCAGGCTGGGGAAGAGGCTGGGCCCTTCCCAGGCGCGTTGTCGGTCTGTGCCTGCCAAGGCCTCTGGGACACCTGAGCCCAGAAGTGGAGGCTCCGGCTCAGGGTCAACTCGGCAAGCCTTGCTGCACAGGAGACAGCATCGTGAGCACTATAGAGGGGGTCTGATGGAGGGACTGACCTGGGGGCACACACCCCAAGGATTGTGACCAGTTCCAGCACGCACCTGAGAGAGAGTGTGCCTTTATGTACATTGGGAGTGTGTGTGAATGCGTGTGTGCACGCGACCTGTGTGTGTGCACAGACCTGTGTGTGTGTGCACACGCAGTGTGGTGACTCAGTGCCTGTGAACAGGTGTCTGGGTACGTGGACGTGACCACCCTCCCTCTGGCCCAGGCATCTCCAGCAGCATGAGCTTCGATGACGACGACGACGAGGAGGAGGACAGCTCCAGCTCCTCCCAGCTGAACAGCAACACCCGCCCCAGCTCTGCTACTAGTAAAAAGTCTGTCAGGGTGCGTGAGACAGGTGGACGGCAGTGCGCAGAGGGCCGGTGCCCAGGCTGGAGGGAGAACGGGTGTGGAGAAGTGATGGGCAGTGGCTGGCCTGGGCTGGGCCCAGGTGCCTAGTGAGAGCCCTGGCATGGGCTCTCCCGCCCCCCCGCCCTGCCTCCCACTCTCACCAGCCAGGCCAGGAGGGTGGGGAGCTGGGGTTGAGCAGGACGGCCTCTGAGAACCTGCCTGTGTTCTCCGTCTCCACCCCCATGGAAGGCTGAGGGAAGAAGGGCTGGGAGCTAGCTGATGACCCCAGGACACCCAGACACTGCCCCACCTCCACCACCACATCCGGGGGCAGCTCTGGATCCCAGAGCCCCCGTTTCAACTGCTCAGGGTCCCAGGGCTCAGGCCTCTGCTCTCTCCCCTGTAGGAGGCAGCCTCAGCCCCCAGCCCAACAGACCCAGAGCCTTCAGCGGAAATTGAGGTCCAGGACCTCGAGGAGTTTGCGCGGAGGCCCGCCCCCCAGGGCGTCACCATCAAATGTCGCATCACGAGGGACAAGAAGGGGATGGATCGGGGCATGTACCCCACCTACTTCCTGCACCTGGACCGAGAGGATGGGAAGAAGGTGAGGCCCGGGCAGGCCTGGGGGCCTGGGGCTGGGATGTGACTGGCAGCCTCTGCCAGCATGACCCCTCAGCTCCCGGGACAGCCTTCATGCTGGCCAGTGCGCGCCTGCGTCTGCCTGTCGTGCACATGTGCTCACGTGTCAGGGCCGCAGCGCGGGAGTGTCCCTGTGTGAGCGGCCCCTGTGACCGTGGGCAGCCGAGGCTGGGCCTGGAAGGTGACCTTGCTCTGCTCTCCAAGGTGTTCCTCTTGGCGGGAAGGAAGAGAAAGAAGAGTAAAACTTCCAATTACCTCATCTCTGTGGACCCCACAGACTTGTCTCGAGGCGGGGACAGCTACATCGGGAAACTGCGGTACTAGCACGCCCCCAGGAGGGTGGGCAGGCTCTCGGGGCCTCTCGTCCCTGAAGATCGGCCAGGGCTCGGATCCCTCTGTCCCTCAGGTCCAACCGTAGGCTCCGTGCCTGCCTAGAGCCAGACTTGGAGAGGGGCCTCCACCCCTACCCTAAGCTGCTCGCAGCCAGGGGGCCCAGGCCCACCCCAAGTGACAGCAAACCCCAGGGGATCCTGGATGGAGAGAGCAACCTTGGGGGAGGAGGGTTGGCGGAGGGAACAGCGTGCCAAATTGGGGAGCATAAACCCAGCTTAGAGGACAGGAGCCAAAGCTGTGATGGGGCTGGACCAAGCCTCACAGGCTGGTGGGACAGCAGATCAGCTCACCCAGCCTGCATGGGGTGCTGAATCCCCTCTGCCGTCCTACCAGAGGCCATTGTCTGCTTGCTTCTGTTTCTCTGGGGAACACTCTGGAACCCCGATTTACTCCCTGAATTTTCCTTCCTGAACCAAGGAGCTCTTTGATTCAACTCAGAGCGAGTCCAGGCCCCTTCCCCTTTAAGGTGGGGCTTCCGGGAGCAGTGTGCCCCCAGGCGGCTCCTGGCTCAGCCCAGAATGCTCTGCAGGCTCCTCAGAGGACAGATTGTCAGCTGGTTGCTGCCCGGGGCAGAGGGAGCTGACCTTGTGCTGCTTGTGCGTGTCCTGCAGGTCCAACCTCATGGGCACCAAGTTCACCGTTTATGACAATGGAGTCAACCCCCAGAAGGCATCCTCTACTCTGGAAGGGGGAACCCTGCGTCAGGAGCTGGCAGCCGTGTGCTACGTGAGTGCGGGGTTCCGGCTCTGGGCTCCAAGTTGGACAGGACACTCGGGGCTGGCTGCCTGCTCTGTGGCTTATCCCATCGGTCTTTGTGGGTAGACAGGCTGCAGGGAGGTGACTGTCCTCTGTGGAGCGGCCCCTGCCTGGGAGAGGGGCCCTGGCCCTCCTCTCTTCCAAGCTGCAACCACTGGTGGCCATCAGCCTTGGAGAGCTCTGGGAACGGGGCCTGGCTGTATGCAGCCCGGGGGGCCCGGTTCTAGCCTCCGCATCTCTTCACTCCTCCCTCTGGCATCCTGCACGGACTCCAAGGCTTCGCTGAATGCTAAGAGCTCGACCTTATTTTCTTTATTATAGACGACGAAACAGAAACTCAGAGGCTGGGTCACTTGCCAGTGTCACAGAGCTCATAAATGACCAAACTGGAATATAAGTACAAGTGATTTCACTTCATTTTAAAATGAGGGATTGGTACCCCCATCAAATGATCAAATAATTGGGAACCCATGGCTGTTTTATATGGTCCTATGGTGCCACCTGCTGGCCAACTTTGGGGAGGCAGCCCAAGTCTTTTCAAATACTTCAAATGTGTTCCAGGTACTGTCTGAGGCACTGAGAATATAGTAATGAACATGAGAGGCATACATTTATACCCTCATGGGACTTAAACCCTTAGTGGGGGATATAGGCTATAAAATAGACAAAATAAATACATTCCTGATAAATGCTAAGATGAAGAAAATAAAACAGGAAGAGGGTTATGAAGTACCCAGGCATGTGTGAGTTTTTAGGAAGGAGGGCAGGAGGTCCTCACTGAGGTAGCACTGGGATCAAACCCAGAAGGAAGTGGGGGCCAGTGTGGGGTGTTGGGGAGAGGACCGTACAGTGAGCGCAGGAGTCCTGGCTGACGTGGGGCCAGGAGCAGGGAGGGCACAGGTGCAGGGGAGGACCTGGCGAGGAGGTGATGGGCTGAGGGACCAGGCCTGTGGGTCGAGGTGAGCCCTTCAGGGAGGAAACCCTGTGACTTAACAGGACCACTCACTGAGATGTGAACAGGTGACGGAGGAGGGGCAGGGCCCAGGATGCTAACGAGGAGCCCGCTGGTCTGAGAGACAGTGGTGGTTAGACTGACTGGGCTCTTGATGTAATTTGAGGGTAGAGCTGACAGCATGAACTGATATCAGGCTTAGGAGATGAGGTGTGAAAGAGGGAAGGGCCAGGTGTGCCCGGGTGGCTGCGAAGTGAAGCCAAGAGGACTGTAAAGGGAGCAGGTTTGGGCAGAATTCAGGAGCTTGAGTCTGGACGTGCTCACTTGAGAGATGCCTGTTAGAGGCTCAAGTGGAGATGTGAGAACCAGCTCATCATCTCCGTTCCCTTCCCCCTGGTCTCCCAGTGTGGAGTCCTCAGGCAGCCACTGTTCTCCATTTCCCAGGAGACAAACGTCCTGGGTTTCAAGGGGCCACGGAAGATGACTGTGATTGTCCCAGGCATGAACATGGTTCACGAGAGAGTCTGCATCCGGCCCCGCAACGTGAGTTTCTACCCCCACCCTCTGCATGAGTTTCTAAAGGGAGAACCCCAGCCGTGTGTCTGTAGGGGGCAGTGTGAGAAGCCCTGGGGGTCCGGGAAATCCAAGGGCCCCGGGCCTGGCTCAGGTGAGGCTGCTCTCCCAGGAGCATGAGACGCTGCTGGCACGCTGGCAGAACAAGCACACGGAGAGCATCATCGAGCTGCAGAACAAGACGCCCGTCTGGAACGACGACACACAGTCCTACGTGCTCAACTTCCACGGGCGCGTCACACAGGCCTCCGTGAAGAACTTCCAGGTCATCCACGGCAACGACCGTGAGTGTTTCTGCCCTTACTCGTTGCCGTCCGCATGCTGCCAGGGCTGCGCTCAGGCTGGCTCGCTGGCCCTGCCCACACAGGCCGGTGCAGAGGACACGGGCTGTGCAGCTTAGATTAGATGTGAAGAACCGTGGCGACTGGGAGGCCTGACCTAGGTCCTGTGCACTCGGCTGTCGCGGGTGTGGGACCATCCTAGGGAGGGGCTCTCCTTCTTTCCTTCTCCCAGTTGGTGTTTTACCTCCTGTGGGATTCCCTTGGCATGTCTGCTTCTCCCCCCCCCCCCTTTTTGTGGCTTGGGTGTCTGTCTGTCCTCCACCTCTGCCGTCCTTACGCTTGTGCCTGGTTCCAGCGGACTACATCGTGATGCAGTTTGGCCGCGTGGCGGAGGACGTGTTCACCATGGATTACAACTACCCGCTGTGCGCCCTGCAGGCCTTCGCCATCGCCCTGTCCAGCTTCGACAGCAAGCTGGCCTGTGAATAGAGGCCTCCTTGAGCCCGCTGTGGTTGCCCAGCCTGGAGCGGAGCCGCCTGCCTGCAGAGACAGCCACCCCTGTACATAGGCCTCCTGCCAGATGAACCTGAGGCTGCCAGTGGGCTCCGTGGCCCAGCCAGGAACTGGCCCCTCTGCCCCTCAGTTGAGGCAGCGGAGTGGAGTGTGTGTAAAGGGACCGCAGCGAGTTCGCTCAGTGCCCGAGACCCACACCCCTCCGTGGGTGAGTGTCCTGCTGCAGTTGTGTTGGCCAAGCTGGGAAGGCAGGGAGAAGGGCAGAGGGAGAAAGCACAATGCAGGGCTGCTGTGGCCCAGCCACCCACTCGGCCCAGAAGTCCAAGGGCGATGGCTCCCCAACAGAGGGGCACAGCACCTTCCCACTGCAAAGGGCTGGGTAGCCGAGCCTGGCCCTTAACTGCAGAAAGTCCCCAGACTTCCCAAGGTCTCAGCCAGGCCTGGGAGAGGTTGCCAGGGTTGGGGAAGGGTGAGTGGTAGGACCTTGTCAAGACTGCAGGGGCCTGGCTGTGGGAATTGGCTCGTGGCCTAGGATTCCAGCTCATTTGATTGCTCTAGGTTTCCCGTGTGCAGAGGCAGCAGGCCAGCCCTCAAAGCCAGGAGGAGGGGCCTGCAGGACACAGGCTCAGCCACAGGAGGCGCAGGGACAGGCTTCCTGTCCTGGGAGCCCTGTCAGCTACCCCGGAGCTCTCTGCTGAGTGGCCCCTGCACCCAGCCCCGGGCTGCACACAGGTAGGCGTGCCTGGGCTGCAGCCCCAGGTGCTGCTGCTTCACCCTCCTGCAGTCAGCCCAGGTCCTGGTGGCTGAGGCTTCCCCGTGTGGTTCGTCGGTGGGAATGGGGCAGGGTGAGGAGGGCAGGGAGTACCTTAGAATCACTAGAGATTAGAGGTGGCAGAACCCTTAGAGATCAAGTAGTACAACTTTTGTCACCTTAGGCAAATCACTCAAAAAGTGGTACTTGCCCTGGGTCACCTGGGGAGGTTGGTGGCCGAGTCTAGAATTTCAGCTCACTGGAATTGTCTCCACCATCCCCCCCAAACCACTGCCTGTGGTTTTCCGGCCTTCTGGGGCCTAGAATGGATGCCCCTGCCCCTTGGCCTGACTCCAGGGACTGAGCAGTGGCAGAGTTTAAACCATTTCCGTAGGAGACTGGGCAGCTCCATTCTGAAAGCCAACTGGCTTTTTGTAGTCAGACGGCTCAGGACTGACTGTCTGGAGAGCCCCTCCGGGGAAGGCTGCTGCCCATGTCTGTATGTGGGTGCGTGGGGGGGCACGTGTGGGGGCGGGCCTGGCCTCTCCCTCCCGTCCTCCTCTCCCAGAGGATGTGGGGACACTCATCTCTTGCCTTTCTGCCGTTTACCCTGGTGGAGGGCACTTGCCCAGATAGAGTTCAGAAACCAGTGGGCAGCGAGCAGGCGTTGTTCCTCATTTAAATAGATGTGCTTGGAAAGGCTGTGTAGAGACAGATGTTTTAGGAAAGAAAAGTCCTCTAATATGTGAGTGGGGCTCCGGAGCGAGGGGATGGAGTCCGCTCTCATGTCCTCGCAGCCCAGGTACCTGCTCCAGCACCAGCGGCCCACACCTGCGGCATCTCCGGGACAGGCCTCGCCGGTGCTGCGGTTTGTTGACACGGTCTCATTTCTAGACAGCTCTTTCCATGGGCCATTTGAGGTCTGGTCTGCATCCCAGGATGTCCTGTGGTACCCTTCCTCCCGCTGTCCCACCTGACTCACATGAGACCTGCTGACGTTTGAGATGACAGAAACTAGATGATCTCTAACTTCTGGCCAGGCTGTGTCTCTGGCTCTGTGACGAGGTAGCACAGGCTGGTGGTGTGCCCTAGTGAGAGGGGGATCCTGGTGGCAGAGTGGAGACACCAGAAGCACAATGGCAAACTCCCGGCTCCTGTCACCTCAGAGACCTGCACAGGAGACAGGGTCAGCTGTGGAAAAGTGTAGCTCAGCAACAAAACCCTCTGTTGGGCCTTAAGTGACAAAGAAGAGCAGTCGAATCACCTGCTCAAGACCCAGCCTCAGTCTATTCTTACAGCCCGTTCCTGGTGACGCGGTTTTCCTGACCATGGCCTTTCCCCTGGTACGAGTTCTCGCCCTCCACCCTCCACCCAGATGGTTCCTGGGCGGGCAGGGAACTTGACCATAAAATGAGCAGTCCCTCTGGGTGTTGGGCAGCTGGGACCTTAGGCACCTCGTCTGTGACTGCACCTGGCTCTGTCCTTCTGGGGCCAAACTCCCATTCCTACACCCTCTGCCCAGAACAGTTCTGCAGCGTGGCAGTGTTCACTTCCCAACTTTTTCTTTCCTTCTTGCTCCAAGGTGCTCTGTGTCTGTCTGCATCTCTGTATCTGTGTGTATTTGGGGAAAAGGGCAACTTGCAAAGGATCAACTGAGGTTTCTTCTTGCGATCATGATTCTGAGAAAGAACAGGAAGGGATGAGGATGCAATGCCCCTGCGGGTTCTGTGCGTACAGTTCTGTGCTCTTCGATGAGGAAGGACCTGCCCTTGCTCCCAGGTCCTGGCTAGGACACTGTCTGAGGAAGTTGTTTTTGGTTCCCATTCTGCATTACCTGGAGAAACCTGTGTGCTGCATGCTTGTGGGTGAATTTGAACATATTCTAGTGACTGTGCCTTAAAAATCACGACACTAGTTGGGAAGGAGCACATGCAGGGCAGACCATCACAGGTGCTGGGAGCCAGGGGTGTGGCATTGCAGGCGAGGGGAGCGCCCGAGATGCCTCCCTCAGTGCCAGAAGGGCAGAACACTGGAGAGGTCTTTCTCTGCTCTATAAATAGCAGGGCATTTGCCTCTAAATTTAACAGTGATGATTTCACACTAAGTCCATCCTTTCCTTGCAGTGGGGGAATGCTGGGCCAGCCATGGCTGTTCTGCAAGCACAAATGCCCTCTCCTAGGCAGGGTTCCCGGAGTCCCCTGACTGCTGGAACACGGCCTCCCTCTAGAACCTCACCCCAGTCAGGACATGTGTGACCTCGGGCTGCCAGGTGGTCCTTAGCACACCTCTTCAGGTAGCTGAACGGAGCCTTCTCGTGGCGCCCAGCACAAGTGGGCCTGACTCCCCTGCACTCAGGGTCAAGTCGGGGCCCTACCCTGGCTTGTCGAACTGCAGCAGCCCCAGGAATAGGCCAAGGATGGGCTCTGGTTTGAGCTGACTGGTCTCCTGTCCTCTCGTACTTCATCTTCTCAGGATACAGGGGAGAGGCACAGCAGAAGTGCGTGGGCGGGTTTGGTTTTTGAGTTTTGCAAACAAGTTAGGCAAGTTGGTCTTCTAGAAACCTCGCCTGTACTCTGGCTACATGAACGTGAACAGGCCACGTGGGTTTCCCAGGTCTGCGTTCCCGTCTACAAGGTGAGGGGCTGTGCCGTCCAAGCCTGCAGTAGGAAGCAGGGCAGCTGAGAGGTGGTCCTTGCTTTCATCACTACCTTTTCTAGCTTGTCACTGTGCCTTTTTCTTTCCTAAAAAAGATGTCACACCCCTTTCCTCTTCTACTGCCCCCCACCCCTAAGGTCCAGGCAGAGCTGGAGATGAGGCTGAGATCAGAGTCCCAGAGGGATGTGGAGTGGCTCCAAAAGGGAGCATGACTCTGGCCTTCTCCTGTGTCCGGCGATGACGGGACTTGGTCAGGGTGGGTGACACTTCTGCTGAGAACATCACTTAGCCAGTCTTCGTAACGCTTACAATGTGTATGTCTACTTGCACAGGGCTGTCTTGCCTATTTTGGAGTGGTCAGACATTTTATTTTTGTTCAGAACTATCTGGAGTTTTAGAGGAACTTGCAAAACTGCTTTTATTGACTTTTTGAATAAACTCTTTGGTATTCTGGAGCAAATGTATTTATTTATTGGTATGTGCAATGACAGAGTTGGTATTTTCCCATGTTGACATATGTACGTTGTATAACTTAAGTGTTTGTCTAAGTACAGACCATATATCAACAAATTAAACTTGAACTGTTTCAACACTACTGTGTACTTTTTCCTATAAAAGGAGAAAAAACATGGTTTTTTACCTAAAAGTTTTTTCCACACCATTCATTCCTTCTGTCTGTCCTAAGAGCCACAGGGGTCAGGAGGGTCCCAGCTGTCCTCCCTCTGGCCTGTGCGCGTCAAGCTCAAGGATGGCAGGACCACATGCAGAGGCTGGAAGAGGCTATTGGACGTTTCCCCTGTGAGCCTGGCCCTTAGGAGCAAAAATGGTCATCGAGCTAAGGGAAAAAAGGTGGAAAGGCCCAGACTGGAAATGACAGGAAAGACAGTGGTCTGAGCCTGAGGGAGGAGGTCACCACGGCCGTGGACGGTGTCAAGTGTAAGAGCCCAGGGCTGCAGTGAGGGTGCAGTCATGAGACCTGGACAGCCAGCCTTGCAAGGGGGACTCCTCCAAATTCACGTGAGGAGACGGCTCAGAGAAGGAATAATCTAAGAAAAGGGGGAAGGAAATGTCATGGATACTTCATGTGCTGAGTAGAGGGGACTTAAGAATGTAGGAGGAGGACTGGTTTATTTCCTTTGGAGTTACTCTGCAGCCAAGCGCATTTCCTGCCTGAACCCAGCTCGGCTCCACCTCTAGGAAATAGCACACGCAGGGTATTGTGAAGGAGGAGAGAGGTTTCTGTTTACTGGTCAGGTCAAGGACAAACTTTTTACATACCATGACAGGGTGACCACAGGGCTAGGGCAGCCCTGGTTTATACCTATTTTCCCGGCACACTGTTCATTAAAGCTCCCTATTCCCAATGTCTGGTTCAGGCATCTGTGGTGTGATCACCCACTCCTCAGCACAGCTCCCTGGGCCTAGCACTAATGGGGTGCTTTCCTGTGCTTCCTGGCTGGGTCACCCGCCTGGTTTACCAAGCACGGGCCCAGGTGCTGCAGCTGTTTTCTAGGCCAGCCACTCGTCCCCAGAGGTATGACTGTGCCCCGCCACAGTGCCCGAGGCCGCTGCAGGCCTCGTGCCCGGGGGTATGGCTGTGCCCCGCCACAGTGCCCCAGGCCGCTGCAGGCCTCGTGCCCGGGGGCATGGCTGTGCCCCGCCACAGTGCCCCAGGCCGCTGCAGGCCTCGTGCCCGGGGGTATGGCTGTGCCCCGCCACAGTGCCCCAGGCCGCTGCAGGCCTCGTGCCCAGGGAGTGACCCAGTTTGCAGCCCACACCAGTTCTGAGAATGAGAGAGACACAATCATCCTGGGTTGTATATTCACGTCACTGTCATCCCTGAAGGATGCAGTAACTCTGGAAAGTGCAAAAAAGGAATGGCCAAGCTGAAGTAACTGAGAAGCACATGCAAGGTCTGAAATACACTCCTGCTCTATGAACAGTCAAGGGGAGCAGCAGGAGCAAGCATGAGGTCCCAGCACTTCTGGCAGGAACTGCCTCCTCAGGCCAGCTTCCCCCAAAGACACATTCAGAATAAAGGCTTGGTTATGTAACACTTACAGAGCAGCCTCATCCGAATACTTGCACCTCTGAATACTTCCGCACTCCACTGCCTTCTCCAGCACGTCTCTGCAAGAATGCCTTCTCTTCCTTGCCCACCTGGAGGAGTCCTTAGCATGCCTCAGGATCCACCTGCTCTGTAGAGTTTCTTGAAGGTACTTTGGCAAAAATGATGTTTTTCTTGGATTTGGGTCCATATCTCAATTATAGCATAAAACCATAGCTACCCCTTGCTGAGTGGTTACTGTGCAGGAGACCAGTGTTTTACAGACACCGATGTCGTCATTTCATCCTCATGACCACCCTGGGAGACCTGGACTTTGCCCCCTGCTTTAAGATGAGAAAGCCAAGACAGAAGGTTTAAGGAGCCGACAAGATTCCACAGTTAGAACAGGCAGGGATGGAATCATGACTGACATCTGCCTTGCCTGCAGAATTCACGAGCTTTAGCTTTTTTATAGTTTATAGTTCATTAAAAAATAGATAAGGCTCTCATATCAAACTGAGTTTTTAAAAGGCAGGATTGAGTCTTCTGTGCCCATTGCCTAGCTCTGAGCAGTGTCTGCCGAATGAATGAATAAGCTAGAAGGAAACATGTATCTCTAATAAGGGAATCATATCCTAATGCAGAAAAGAAATGTGATTCAGGGACCAGGACTCTCCTCCTAAAGCATCCCCTCATTGTGAAGGGAGAGGAATAATATGGAAAACCATTTATTGAAACACTAAAGAGCTCCTACATTATTTTTCATCTTTAGCATTACATCTAGATTGTTTTCAGTACATTTTAAACTGCATTTGTTATAAGTGAATCAACTGTTCCACACACAGACATAACGTACTTTCTATAGACTCAATCTTTAAGACTTCTCTGTAGTTCATTAACTAACAAATGTTGAGAAGTAATGGACATTGTATCTTAAGATGGTCCCATACCGTTTGACACCGTCTGACTCCGTCTGTATGCTCATATGTGTGATTTAAAGTACTTTCTTGGTATCTTGTACCAGGAACAGGGAAACTCTAAAAGCTATATTTACCTTTACATAATTTAATTTTCAGGTCTTCCGCATTTCGTGACTGAGAACGTCCTCGGGAAGCGTCCTCTTTAAACTCTCCAGCCCTACTGTAACGGTGCACTCACCCTTACTGGCACAATAGCTGGGTGCCATCTTGTCTCACGAAGGCAGATGGCAGCCTAGAGGTCAGGCTTGTAGTTCTGTCGAAATCCTCCCTGTCCGAGCCCACTCCCCCAGCTCTGTGGGAAGACCCAGATGCCTGAATACAGACAGACAGAGGGTCTCTCCCCTGGCACTGCCTCACTGGCTGTCCCAACAGACACTCCCTGCAGCTTCCCTGCTGTGCTGGCACTTTGTCTGCAAGTTCAGTCCTCATTTCTGTTTCAATTCACGTGGCTGTGAAGACAAACTCCCCAGAGGGCACAACATTCAGAAACAGCTTCAAGGCCACGCTGTCCCTAAGTGCTCGGCCCGCGCCCCTCACTGGCTCCCTGGCCTCTGAGCACCCTGTGGCAGGACCAGTGCGCTTGGACAGGCCTTCCTGCAGCCCCCACCTTGGCTCTGCAGGGCAAGGACTAAAGTCTCTACCTAAGATTCCTGCAGCCGCTGAGGCCCAGAGGCACACAGGTGTTCTGGGTCTGGCAGCTGTAAAGCAGAACAAGGATAAAGGAAGCTAGATCTAGATGAAGGCTATGGCAGAACGAAACTCCCCGCAGGACTCTGGGCTCATTTCCAGGTCGGTGGGAGTCTTTTGGCCATGTTGTCAGGAAGGGGCTTCGGCTCAGACAGCAATCCTGCCCTGCTCTGGCCCCAGCATCCCCCAAAACAAAAATGTTCTCTTCTTGAACCCAGGGGACCACTAACCTGCTCAAGGCCCAGAGAATAATGCATCTGGACTGAAATCTTCACTCTTGCAACCTTAAGTTCTCACCATGAGTAAGCTGGTGTTCCTTCACAGGTAAACCATCTGCTATTCCCAGCGTGAGGAGTCAGACCTCTGCCCTTGAGTGGTCCCACCTGTAATTACGACAGAGCAAACACTCCCTCAGGGGCTCAATGCCCGGGTGGAGGAAAGGCAGGAAGAGAGAGAGCGAAGCCGTCTTGTGTTCCTACCAATCTCTATGATGTTTTACAAGGTGACAGGTATGTGAGCACCAGGGAGGATACATGATATCCATGGTAGTGACCTGACTGGCTATGACATTTAAACACAGAAAATGAAGTACAGGGCACAGGGCCAAGGATGAAACCTGAGAAAGGTCACCTTGGGATTGAGTAATGGATACTTCACCAGACTGGCTGTTTTCACTCTGAACCCTGGGGACTCCGCTTCCTCAGTGCGCCACCTGCACACGCTGGGTCGGCGCTGACGCCCAAACCTTCATCTCCGGAGTCCTGGGGCCACTCTTCTCTGGTGGTTTCCTCCAGCTCACTGTAACCGTCAGCAATGAGCCCAGCATTCTCTGCCGAGACAGCGGGATCCTCCTCGTCAGGGAGATGGCAGGAACACGTTCCTGGCTCTGGGTCACATGAGGTAACAGAATTATCTTCCTGGGATCTGCAGCCAGTGGGCATTTCCCAGCCCGAAAGGTCAGATCCTCCTTCTAGCACCCCCATCATTTCAGCTATTTCTTCAGCAGAGGGCTCTTCTGGGTCCGGGTAATCCACCAGGACAGTTTCTTGCCTACGCCTGATGCAATCTGAAAGGTCATAAATTGGATAAGTCTCCTCAGGGTAACCTAGAGAAAAAAGTGCACAAAGTCTTACAAAGACTGTCTCCTACAATGAAGGACCAGGCTCAGAGAGGCTTCTCAGGCGGCAGCCATCCATCCCATCCCAGCAAATCCATTCAAGAAATCTCTCAGATGATGAACAGCTCTACAGTTTCACTTGAGTAAATTCTTAAGCAGTCTGGCTGACTATCCCAGGGCTCTTTGAAATACAAACCCCTTCAGAAGAAAATCCCTTCTTAAATGCAGGGTGCTTGGCCACAGTGCAAGTCTCACACTCTGCAAGCATGATGAAGATTAAACAAACAACAGGAGCCTTCAGTTAAAAAAAAAAAAAAGCAAGAAGCACCAGATGGAGAGAGCATAGCTCAAGGATAATATTTATCATTTCTATTTGGAACCATTTCCAAATCTGCCTGGGGGGTGGGGGTGGGGGTGGGGGGTGGGGGGGTGGGGAAAGGAATGCTAAACTCTGAAAAACACACCATGAAGCCTTCTACCAATCAAAACAACGGAATGGCTTGCAAGTGTCAGCGAGTGCTTTCCCTTTGGGGAAGGGGCCCAAGATCCCCAAGGACAGCACTGCATTTCCAGAAGACAGAATTCCCACTGTGGGCTTCTCTGTCTTCACAAAACAGAACAAAGGAAACAACAACTGGTAAACAAAATGAGTAATACTGGTACTGAACTCCAGCTCCCATAATGAGGAGAGAGAATACATTGCCAAATTAAAGAATGAAATGGAATGAATGAATCTGTGGGAGTGGAGCCTGAGCAGCAGAGGGGCCGAGCGGGATCACAGGCCCTGCTGCACACGTGGAGGGAGAGCTGGGGGTTCAGCACCCCGTGCCCATCACAGTGATCGCAGTCGGCCCTGACAAACCACTTCTGGCCTATGATTTCTGAAAAGCAGGGTTTCTTTTTGGTGCAGTGTTCAGTGAGTGGGGAGAGAGATTTTTTTAGATTTACCGTCTGTTTTCTGATTATAAAAGTCATAGAGATTCGTGGTGGAGCATTTGAAAAATACAAGTTTGGGAAAGAAAACATCTAGAATCCCACCATTAATAATTTGTTGTATTACTTCTGCCTTTTTATCATATATAAGTGTTATGTATGTATGTATGTATGTGTATATATACATTTTTAACACTGATTATCTTTAATATTTTTTTCTTTATTGATTTTAGAGAGGGAGAGGGAGAGAGAGAGAAACATCGATGAGAGAGAACATCGAATGGCCGCCTCCTACATGCCCCCCACTGGGGATCAGGCCCACACCTGGGCATGTGCCCTGACTGGGAATCGAACCAGTGACCTCTTGGTGCATGGGTTGATACTCAACCACTGAGCCACACTGGCCGGGCTATATACATTTTTTTTTTTTTTAAATAATGAAGCATCACACTGTACATAAAATGTTATACCCTAAATTTTTTCATTCAACATGATGAGCATTTCTCCATGTCATTAGGCATTTTAAAGTTGGCTGCGAAATATTCCATCACACAGGTACATAACTGATTTGATTTATCCTGCCTCTTCTGTAAGACATTTAGATTCTTTCCAATTTTCCCTTATTATAGTAATACAGCAGTTAAGATCTCTAATATAAATCCATGTCTACTTCCCTGTTTCTTTAAGGTACATTTCTAGAAATATGAAAACTAGACCAAAGGGAAAGGATTTTAAAAGCCTTTTCATTTTTTCACACTCTACCAAACTGCTTTCCAGAAGAATGATATACATTTTTAGTTCTACCAGTGACATAAAAACCTGTCCATCCTGTTACGTCCTCACCATCATGACAGTTTCTCAGTGTCCAGCTTCCGGAATGCTGGGTACAGTGGAGCTCAGCACCCAAGGCCCTCACCACCTCCTTGGTCCACGGCAGGCGCTGGGGAAGCTTACTTGCTACTCAGCTCCCAAGCACTGAATGCTTCAGAGAAGTCCATTTCCTGGCATGTTCCTTCTTCCCACCCAAGAGCAAAGCTTACCTGGGACTTCCACGGCCATATGCTGTGGTTTAAGAGGGCGAGGCCTGCTGAGGAAAATCGAGTAGTGACTGCCACAACTGCTGAGTCGGCCTGTGTCACCCAGCATTACTGGTCCCTTAAGACCTTCACTACAAACATGAGCAAGCAACAAACCGAGTGCTGGTCCCGTGAGGAAATCAGCAGTTCAAAACAGGGGAACCAAACAGTCAACGTAGGAAACAGGTTCATGTCAGTCAACTTTAAATGGATATTGCCAGTCATATTCAGAGGATAATGTACTGATAAAACCAACTAGGCTTCACTATAAAAAAGGGAACAAAAAGGAAATAAGACAGACCTATTAGAAAGTCATAATTACAAAGAAAGAAACACACACAACTTTTAAACTTAATAGAGGAAAAAAGCAGCAGATTGAAGTGGGCATGGCTAAAACCCAAATTAGCGTATCCGAAGACCAAGTAAGGGGAGGACTTCTAGGACAAAGGTAAACAGGCCATAGAAACAGAAATTCTGAGAAGATACACTGCAGAAAGACGGATCTAGGGTGTCCAATCTTAGCACCACTGGGATTCCAGAGGGAGAGGGCAGAGCAGAGAGTGGAGGCAACAACCAAGGGGGTGATGAAAGAAAACATGCTTCAGCTGAAAGACTCGAGTCTTCAGCTGGAAAAGATTCACGACATGCTAGGTAAAAATACTCTGAAAAAATCCACACATTCCTACACACTCAGACATACGCCAATGAACCTGCCCAAGTTTAAATATTTAAGTATAAAAGTACAAACTTCCAGAGAGAAAACAGACTAACTAACCAAAAACAGGATGCCCACTGAGAAAGAATCTGACTCAGATAAGATTTCTCATTTTCAACGTAAAATGAATGTAGAGAATGAAATAATATTTTTAGGCCTATAGGGGAAAATGGCACAATCATATAATTTTGTATCTGGCAAATTATTTGTATAAAGGTAAAAAAATGATGTGTACAGATATCCAAGTATGCAGAAAGTACACCACTCTATATGGAGGTGGGGGAGGTACTTAAGGAAGTATTCTGACAAAGAAAAAAATTAATCAAAAATTTTAATTCACAAAAGATGACACTGTATACAAGAAGGTGGTAAACAGTGAGTCAGTAAATATTACCAATGTAAAATAAATACTGATACAAATGTAATGCCATTGTTAAATACTTAAATCAGAAAAAGACTAATATCTTTAAAAGGTACTATCACTTGTAGCTAAAATTTCACAACACCTAAGAAGTAGGTAGAAAATGAAGTGATAAGGTTTTTACTTTATAGGGAAGAGGGCCATATAATGAACATCTGCAATTTGGCGGAAAGAGGAATTCCAATACCCATTTCCTTGGTTACTAGTGAGACTGAAATACTTTTTCATGTATTGTGAAACCAGATTTTTTTGTCCACTGCTTATGTAGGGAGATATCACTGTTTTCTAAATTAGAGAACTTCTTATATGTTAAAGATAACTTTTCAGTCATATTTGTTACAAGTATTTTTACAGTTTAGTATTGATTTTAAAACTTTGTGATGTTCTCTCATCTAGTATTCTCTGATCTACAGAATGTAAAACTTTTATGTATTCATGCTACACTTTCCCTTACAGTTTTTTGAGTTGCTTTTTAAAATTTAATCTTTTTATTCTAAGATCACTATAAATTCACATGTAGTTGTAAGAAATAACACAGAAACCCATGTACCCTCTACCCAGTTTCTCCCAATGGTATCATCTTGCATAACTATAATACAATATCACAACCAGAATATTAATATTGACAAAGTCAATATACAGAATATTCTTAACAACACAAAGATCCCTTATGTGGCCCTTTTATGGCCACATCCACTCCTTCCCCCATTTCCTCCTCAACTTCTGGCAACTACTATACTGTTCTCCATTTCCATAATTTTGCCATTTCAAGAATGTTACATGAATAGAATCACACAGTATGTAACTGTTTGAAATTAGCTTTTTTTCACTCAGCATAATTATCTGGAAATTCATCCAGGTTGTTGAATGTATTAATAGTCCATTACTTTTTATTACTGAGTATTATACCAGAGTATCAATACACCACAGTTTAATCATTCACCTGTGTAAGGATACTTGGGTTGTTTCTAGTTTGGGGTTCCTACAAATAAAGCTGCTATAAATATTCATGTACAACTTTTATGTGAACACATGTCCTCATTTCTCTGGGATAAATGCCCAGGAGTGCAATTGCTAGGTTCTATAGTTATTAACATGTTTAGCTTTCCAGAGTGGGTGTACTACACCAGCAATGTATTAGTGAATCTGTTTTCTCCACATCCTCCCCAGCATTTGGCATTGTTACTGTTTTTGTTTTTTGTTTTTTAGTTTAGCCATTCTGATAGATGTGTAGTAGTATCTCATTGTGTTTTTAATTTGTATTTCCTTAGTAGCTAATGATGTGGAACATCTTTTCATGTGCTTATTGGCCATGTATATCCTCTTTGTGAAATGTCTGCTTATATCTTTTACCTATTTCCTAGATTTTTACTTTGAGTTTTGAGAGTTCTTTATATATTCTAGGTATGTCTTTTGTTGGATATATGATTTGCAAATATATTCTCCTAATGTGTAGCTTGTCTTTTCATCATCTTAATAGGGCTTTCTATTATTTTCTAAAAGGTTTATAGTTTTACAATTTGCATTTATGTCCACATGATCTGTCTTTAGTTAATTTTTTTATAATATGTAGAACTTAGATTGAGGTTTATTTATTTTTGCTATGGACATCCAATTGCTCCAGCACCATTTTTTAAAAAGGCTCTCTCCATTGAATTGTTTTTGCACCTTTGTAAAAAATCAGTTGTGCCTATTTGTGTAGGTCTATTTCTGGGTTCTCTGTTCCATTCCTTTTATCTCTGTGTCTATTCCTACACCAGTACCACGTGTTCTTGACTACTGTAGCTATATAAGTCTTGGAATCAGGTATACTGATTCCTCTAATTTTTTCTTTTCAAAAATTGTTTATTCTATTTCCTCTGCCTCTCCATATACATTTTAGAATAATCATGTCTGTATATACAAAACATCTTGCCGGGGTTTTGATAGGGACAGTGTTAAACCTGTTTGTTAATTTGGGAAGAATGGACATTTGTACTAACTTGAGTCCCCCAATCTATGAACAAGCTGTTTTCTCATTTAGATTTTCTTTGAATTCTCTCATCAGTGTTGTACAGTTTTTAGCCAACAAATCCTATACGTTTTGCTACATTTATACCTAAGTCTTTTTCTTGAATGATTAAAAATAATTTTGATGTCAACATATTCATTGCTACTATACAGAAATAAATACAATAGATTTTTGAATGTTTTTCTTGTATCCTATGACCTTGCTGGACTCACATATAAGTTCTAGGACTTTATAACAGATTCCTCAGGGTTTTCTACATAGGCAATCATGGAATCAGGAGAGAGGGGCAGTTTTATTTCTTCCTCTTTAATCTGTTTGCCCCCCCGCCCCCCCTTACCTGCCTTACAGCACTGCTTAAAACTTTCAGCACTATGGGGAGTAAGACATCCTGCCTTTTCCCAACCTTAGGGGGAAAGCATGCGTCTTTCAGCATTAAATAAGATGTTAGCTTAGGTTTTTGCAGCTTTTCTTTATCAAGTTAGGAAATTCCCCTCTATCCTATTTTCTGAGAGTTTTTATTATGAATGGATCTTGCATTGCTTTTATCCTCAAAAGTCCTTTGCTGCTAAACAGCCAGCACATATTTGCAACTACTTTTTCTAGTATTTAAGGTTCCTCTCCTCCATCTTTATTTAGTATATCTGGAATCATTTTGCTGTTAAATATGTAGGTTCTTACTTCTGCTCCGGCAATAATGGAAGGCTCGGGACTCCTCCCATTAAACAACTATAAAAATCAACCAAAGCACGAGGCACCAATTTCCAATCATTACCAACAGGTAGCGTAGCATGCTCCCTGAGAAAAGGGAAACAGCCCAGTGGTCTCAGTGAGTTGGTAACACAGATCAGCGTTCAAGGAGGCCGGGGCAGCTAGAATTTATGGGGAAGAATACTGGAAAGAAAGGAGCCTCGCAGAGAAAGAGCGCTGGAGATCCTCAGAGGGAATTTTAGCTGAGCTCTGATCTGTGTATGCATGGGAAAGAACCACCCACGGCCAAGAGGAGAACTACTGAAAGCATCAGGCCTAACAGTTCCTGGAGCTCACACACAGCTGGGCGTGGTTCCCACTGCTACTGGCCAGAGGAAAGGCCCTGTGGGCATTCAGTGGAGTCCAGAGGGGGTGGAGCCTTACCAGGGGCACTGAACTAGCCACAGAGCAAAGGCTGCTCTGGACCCACCCTAACAAATCCTAAAACCAACTGATTTCTGGTCATTTAACTGTGTGCCAGAAAGAAGTCCAATACTATATAAAGCACTAAAACAAAATACAGTACCCAACAATGTAAAATTTGCAATACCTATCATCCAATCAAAATTTACCAGGCACGTAAAAAGGCAGGAAATCAGGGCTCGTGACAAGGGAAAAATAATTACTAGAAACACACCAAGAAATGACACAGTTGATAAGAACAGCAGCCAAGACTGTTAAGAAGCTGTTATAAATAAGCCTTGTGTTTTTAAGAAGGTAGAAGAAAATATATGGCAAATGCACACATGGAAAAAAAAAGTGTAACATTGGTCATTAGGGAAATACAAATTAAAGTAACAGTTGAGATAATACTTACTATACACTCACTAGAATGGCTAAAGTTTGAAAGACTAACAATACCAAGTGTTACCAGGGATGCTGCAACTACAGTTCTCGTACATTACTGCTGGGAAGGCAAAATGGCAGAGCCACTTTGGGAAGCCAGTTGACTATATCTAATGCAGGTGAACACACACTTACCATAAAACCCAGAAATCTCATTCCTAGGTATATACCCCAAAGAAATACACATATATATCCAAAGACTTGTATGCAAAAGTTCATTGCAGCTAGATTCATAACAGCTCAAAGCTGGACACAACCCAAATGTTTCTAAACTAGCAAACGGAGAAACAAATTTGGTATATCTATAAACAAAATATGACTCACCAGTAAAAAAAATAAATAAAAGTATTGATATACTCAATACATGGAACTCAAAAGCACTGTGCTAAATCACAGAAACCAGAAACAAAAAAGCACGTGCGATGCAATCCCTCTCTATAGAAAGGTAAAACTACAGGGACAGAAAGCAGTTCAGTTGTTTCACCAGGAGGGCATCAGCTGCAAAGAAGGAGGGGACTTTCTGAGATGATGGAAAAGTTCTGTATCATGACGGTGATGTAATTACACGTGTCAAAACTCATCGAACCATATACTTAAAATTGGTGAATTTTTTTTTTTTTATCCTCACCTGAGGACATTTTTGCATTTATCTTCAGACAGAGCAGGAGGGAGAGAGGGAGGAAGAGAGGGAGAGAGAAACATTGATGTGAGAGAGACACATCGAGTGGCTGCCATCCACACAACCCCAACTGGGGCCGGGAACAAACTGCAACCGAGGTACGTGCCTGTAGCAGGAACCAAACCTGGGACACTCTGGTCTGCGAGCTGATGTTTTAACTGCTAAGCCAAACCAGCCCGGGCAAAATCAATAACAAAGATGATTTAAAAACATTTTTTAAGGTATCTTTTCTGGGCTAACAGCTAACAAAGAAAAGAGAAGACACTGTTCACCTTCCCAGTCCTCCATGTAAGGGGCCTCCTCAGCTTCTCTCTCTGGAGTGGATCTGTCAGTGAATCCTCCTTTTTCCATGACCCTAGTGATTTCTCGAAGCTGATGCAGCAACCGTTTTTCTTGGTCAGAAGTCACAGTCTGTGCTCTGCTTAGAAATCAGACAATCCAGTCATTTTGTGGTAAATACTCCTTGGCAATGAACATAAAACATCACTATGATTTGTCTGGATCCTAGAACAGCATAACCTGCAACTAGACATGTTAGTTCAATGTTCTGATTTTATATATGGGAAAACTAAGGCCCAAACAGATGTTACTGCCCAAGGTCCCACGGTGAGTTATGTCAATGCTGGGGACCAGACCCCAGATGTCTCAGCTCTCAGTTCAGTGTTCTTTCAGTGCTCCTCACTCCCTGATTGGCTCATCTCCACGCAATTTCGCTGTTACTTAATATTACTCCCTTCGCTGCAAGCCACTTCTACCTGAAGCAAGGTCATCAAAAGAAAATGTGCTGGACCATTAGTCTTGACTAGGGGAAAATGTGCCACTAGACCATCCCTACAATCACTAGGCTGCACACATTCCAAAATTCCAGAGCTGGGTCATTCTGACAAATCAATTACCTAGACCACAGACGCTAGGGAAAATGAGACCCTCAGAGGGGAAATTCTACATTCCTATTGCTAGTTAATGTCAGCACTTTAACTAAAACTAAAGTCTTGACTTCTGAAAGCACTCGGTGCAATTCTTTTCTTTTCATGAGTTTGTATTGATTTGAGAGAGAGGAATGGAGTGGAAGAGAGAGATTACCTTAATCAGCTACCTGCTGCACGTCCCCTACTGGGGATGGAGCTGGTATGTGTCCTAAGAATCAAACCTGTGACCTCCTGGTGCACGGACGTTCAACCAACTGAGCCACACTGGCCAGGCAACTCGGTGCAGTTCTTAAAGCACAGTGCTCAAATTCCACGGTTTAGAAAACCTAGGTTTGAGTCCCAACTTAGCTGGGTGGCTCCGGACAAATGTCTGCAAGAATAAGATGAGGCACCCGGCCAGTATGGCTCAGTGATTGAGCGTCGACCCATGCACCAGGAGGTCACCAGTTCAATTCCCAGTTAGGACACATGCCCAGGTTGTGGGCCAAATCCCCAGTGGGGGCATGTAGAAGGCGGCCAATCGATGTTCACTCTCGTTGATGTTTCTTTCTCTCTTCCTCTCTCTCTAAAATCAATAAAGAAAAAAAAAAAAAGAGTAAGATGAGGCTCAAGGGTAATGGTATGACTATTCTGTTTTGAGAAGGAAGCACTGCATCACACTCAGGCAGACAAGGCCCTACAAAGAAGACAGAGAACTGTCTGCTTTGCGACCAGTTTGATCTAGTGGCAGAATTTAACAGAGGCTACTTGGTCTTCTCTTAAAAACCCAAAGCATTCCAAATCAGTGTAACACTCACAAAGGAAAAACGATCCATTCTGAATCAGCCTCCTACTGAGGTGCCGTCTATATTTCTAATCAGCCAGTAGGAGCCTGCATTCCTTTTTATGCTCAGCCTAACCAACTTTAGCCTTAATTGACCAACAGAAAAAAGAAAAAAGCGTTTCTCCCTCCAGTGTTAAAATCAGAACCCTAATTACAAGAGCGATGGCCAGCAGAAGCAGAAACAGTCAAGAGAAGCTTTCTCAGAGAATTCCAAACGAAAGCATCCTCTTTCACTTCTGAACAAGTGTACTGATCTGGTCCATGACATGCATTAGGCAATTAACCATGGCCCACTTTACATCTTCTGAATGTATCACAGTGAACACTCTCATAGACTCCCTGTTGTCGCACCTTGGCTGACTCCTGGAAGTCAGTGGTAACTGTACAACTGGACAGGCACAGTGCCAGGAACACTAAGTGCTCGTTTGTTGGACTGGTCCCCGTTTCCTCACCAGCCATTTTCTCCCACCTCCCTGAAATCTGGCTTCCATGGCATCATGTTACCAACACTTGTGAAAATCATCAATGACCACTTTACTCTCAAGTCCAAAATCTTTTTTTCACATTTCATTCTTGATTTCATCCTTGACTTCTCTGTACTGTGGACCAGTGTCTCCTTGAAATGTCTTCTCTCTGGTCTATTGAGATCTGTATTCTTTCCACTTCTTTAACCACTCTTCTTATCTCTGAATACGGCTCATTTTTATCCTTCCAACTCCTAAAACACGGGTTTTTTTGGAGGCTCAATCCTAGGACCCTCATTTCTCCATTCTTACAGTCATGCCCTCAGGAAGCTGACCCAGCATCACAGATGAAACCATCACCTCTACACTGATGACACCCAGACTCGACCTCTACTCTTGGCTTTTCACACAAAGCCAGTCTCACTATTCCAGCGGCCTCCTGAGCACTTCCACTGGGAGGCCTGGCTACACACTGAAGTCAGCCTCACACTCGCTGTCAGAACCAGGCCCCAGCTGGGCCTAGGACCACAAGCAGGCAGGCTCGGAGAGGTTGGGTGCAGCAGATTCCAAGATGCTAGAAAAATAAAAGATCAAGTTGGGAGATAACCTCACCAGATTTTTTAATGCTATTAACCCAGAGAAATCATCAAGCTCTGAATCCAGAATTAAGCACAGAAAAAATGAAATGCTTTCTAACACAACCATTCATGGTTAGGACAGAATTCAGACCAGCTGACGACCACAGCCAGATCCTTCCCCACTGTCCTTACCTCTAACCCCCAGCAAAGTGACTTCAAACCAAGTCTTTTATTCTGACCTCAATCCCAAATTTCCTACTGTTCTTGTAGATTATACATGGACATTCTGAAAGCACCTCAACCACATTCAAAGCTGAACTCATGACCCCTACCCTAAGCCTTTTCTTTCTCCTTTTTGTGCTTGATCTTGGTTGATGCCTTAATTTTCTTTCCAGTTTGGGCTCCAACCCATCTTTTTTTAAAATAATCATCTTCAACTCATCTTTATTTCCTTTTACCTCTTCACTGCTCTTATCTAGATAGTTTTCTCTTTGGGAGGCCAACCCCTCTTCCGCTCACAGTGCAAAGGTTAGGGAGAAGCCATTCATCCGCCCACTTCCCCTTCAAGGGTGGCCATGTGGTCCCTGGCCAATCAGCACACTTCATCTTCTTGGCTGCAGTGATCGATTCAGTGATATATACAGGACACAAGTTGGACCAAGAGTACTTTCTCCTAAAACTGGACCTTGAACTCAGTGAAACCTGATCTGAAAACTTTTCATATTAACTTATCCTGACAACTGTCCATTTGCTCCGGCTCCCTAAATCCCCAGAGCGGCTCTGCTTCCTACTCTCCCTGAAACCTGTATCTTTAACTATTCTTCTCATACTGTGAGCTATCCTCTAGCTTCCAATAAGTTCTGCTGCCTCCTCCAATACCTATCTGCTACCCAGACTGGCTGCTTGCAAACAAGGAATCTTGATACAGCCTGTGATTTTGTTTTCCTCCACTTTCACTGGCATATTTATTACCTTCTGCTAGAACTTTTTCAATAACCTTCCAGCATATAACCACTCTATATATGACTATAAGTTATTTTTCTAAAACACAGCAGATCATGACATTTCTCCTCAAAAGCCTTCAGTGATACCCCACTGTAAAGACAATGAATTTCAACTTCTCAGCCTACCATTCAGGGCCTTCCGTTCCGGCCTTCGTTTATTTTTCTGCCCCCCCCCCCCCCCCCGGACTTCTGCTCATTTACCCCATTCCCTGCTCTACTCCACTCTAGTTACTCAGGGCTACTTGCTGTTCCAAAAACACGCCTTAACCCCCATCATGTTTGTGCTTGTGCTGCCCTTTCCCTCTGAAACATTCTTTCCCCAAACTCTGACTGAGGAATCCTCCCACCTGTAAGGCTTATTCAAACCCCCTTCTGTGGTAGGCAGAATCACCCTCCCCTCCTTCACCCCCCAAAGATGTCCACATCCTAATCCTTGGAGCCTATAATTATGTTACCATATATGTAAGAGACTTAAGGTTGCAGATGGAATTAAGGTTGTTAATCAGAGGGAGCTGAAATATATTATCCTTGATTATCTGGGAGGGAACAATGTAATTACAAGACTCCTTACAAGAGGAAGAGGGAGACAAAGAGGTCAAAGTTGTGAAAAGGTCCATCAGTCAAGAAATGTGGGCAGCTTCTAAAATCTGAAAAAAGCAAACAAACAGCTTCTCCCCCAGATCCTCCAGAAGGGCATACATTCCTACCAACTCCTTGATTTCAGCCCAGTGCAGGGCTTCTAACACACAGAATTGTAAGATAATAAATGTGTGTTGTTTTAAGCCATTAAGTTTGTGGCAAATTGCTACAGCAGCCATTGAAAATGAGTAACATTCCTAGAGCACACTTTATCTCTGAGGTGCAGTTCCTTATAGAGAAATAATACTTCCATTGACAACTATATATATAGGGTTGCACAAAATAGGTTCCAAAGAAGACATGATTGCTGAAAAAGCCAGCTTTGAAGTACTTTCTTTACCTCTCCCTTATTCATTCTCTCAACATGTACTGACATTGTCAATGTGCCAGCAAGGAATATAAATGTGAAGAAGGAAGAGTCCTTGTCCTCGAGAAGGTTACAGGGCATCAGGGAAAACAGAAAAGTTAACCCAAGATCAGAAGGTGACATGATGCTCACAACAGCCTGGGTGGCAGGGGAGCACACTGCAGGAACACCTAGGAAAGGACTCTCAGAGAAAATAATGTGTCAGTTGAGGGGCGATATCCAAGCAAATGGAAAAAGTACATGCAAAGTCCCAGAAGCAGGAGTGTACAGGTATTTTAGAGGAATAAGCAGTCTGGGTGGCTGGGCCACGGAGAGTGTGATGGAGAAAGATACAGCGATAGAGGTAAGGCCGGGTCACCCAGCACCATGTAAAACAAAAGACAGGATCCATCTGTCTGAAAAGCAGAAGGTGAATTGAAGGGAGGCAAAATTAGAGAATAAAACACCACATGAGATCGTTCTAACCTACGTCGAAAGTGAAGGTATTCATTTACTCACTCATTCTTTCTTGTATTTCAATGAATATTTTTCTAGAGCCTACTTTGAGCCTGTGCTGGGAACGTGAACGATAATCCCTGCCCTAGTGGAGTTTAGAGTCTTGTGCAAGGAGTCAGACTTATTAATTCAGAAGAAATGACAAGACACAGTCATCAATGAGCTAGGCCAAGTGGAAGAAAAGGTGACTCGAGGATAGCATCTAATTCCTGCTAAGCAGATGGTGCAGCCCCCGTGGAGATGGGGGCCGCAAAGGCAGAGTAAGTGCAGCTGGGGTAGATGATGTGTCCTATCTGGACATTCACTCATTCAAGAGACACATGATTTGATGGGGATAAGGGTAGGTATCTATGAGACATGTCCGGCAGAACCCTGAGTCAGGAACTGAAGAGTCTCATTAGTGAATGGCCATGATTTACTCTTCCACCAAGATAATATATGTGCACATGCTTGTATCAAAACTGAAAATCTATTCTTTTCCAACAGCATTTATTTAGTACCTACTATGTGAACACAGTGAACAAAGCCGACTAATCCTCTCAAAAAGCTGATATTCCAGCAACGCATGCTAGAATCCTCTAGTCCCCCCCACAGACCCAGGGCTGCCTGCTGCCAAAGGTGACCCCTCATTTCTCCCCTCAGGCCATGTCTCAGTCCAGCAGGTGAATAATTACAGCTGGACGTGCTGCTTGAGAAGGAAACTGTGCTAATCATAAGGACATAAGTGAGGACCCCTCGACTCAGATTCCTAGACCTTCTGCTTAGTCTGTGTCCTTGGGCTGAGTACTGTGCCTAATATCACACATAACGTGGCACAATACCAACCTCCACATACACAGACGTACAGTATCAACAAGTGAAAGCTGTCCCAAAGTTTTATTAGATAATATTAAAAAACTTGCCCATATTTTGATTCTTATGTAGGCATTAAGATGAAGTTTCAGAAACCGCACATTTCTGAAAGTTTAAACAAAATCTCGCAGTCATGGAGTGAATATTATATGAAAGTACTTAAAAGGCTGTAAATGAACACATCTTCTTTATCTTAAATCCTCTCCTTGACCCCCAAAGCCTGGAGATGTAATCAAATCTTGATCCGACAGAAAAAAAATGCCGGGGTATTCTGGCTCTCCTACTAAGCAGCACAGACTTGTGGAGGAGCCATGCCCCCGGAGCTGAGGCTGAAGGACGTAAGTCTACCAAGGAAACAATGTGAAGCTCGGGGCTACCTGGCCCTGCAGTTTCAGGGCTGAAGTCCTGTAAGGAGGAGAGGTGCTGGATTAAGGAGTATCAGAGAGCAAGTCGAGTCTTCATGACCTGGAAAATGAGAGATTTGGGAAAGAGAGCCATAAGCTATGCTCTCTTCAGGGAAAAAGGAAGTAAACCTCAGTTCCTGAGCAGTACTGTGGAAAACATTTTACACCACCATCACTATGCAGCAGGCTGGGAGGAGTAAACGTCTGAGACCTGTGGCCCCAGAAATAATGAGATGGTACAATTCCAGCTGCAGGTTGGGGCCAAGTCCTCAAGTCCTTTGCCTTTGCATGTAAAACACAGAGAAGTAAAATCTAACACAAAGAGGACAGACAACAGTTAGTGGTTATAGTACTGTGCCCTTGTCTTGGTGTACATGGGTGGGATGCTGGGACTCTGTGACTGGAGCTAAGGAGACTTAACAGAAGTTAACAATGAGAAAATATCTTCAGGGGGTTTCTTTTTTCTTTATTGATTTATAGAGATAGAGAGAGAGGGGAACAGAGAGGGAGAGAGATAAAAACATCAATGAGAGAGAACATTGACTAGCTGCCACCTGGGTGCCCCCCACTGGGGATTTGGCTCACAATCTGGGCATGTGCCCTGACCGGGAATCAAACCAGCAACTTCTTGGTGCATGGGTCGATGCTCAACCACTGAGCATACACAGGCCGGGCTTCATGTGGTTTGTTATTCCAAGGTCCAGGGGTTGGGACTCCCAGGTGGGAAGCCCTGTCCACAGGTATTCATCTATGGCTTTCATGACCCTTAGCTGTGGGCCTGGGGCTTCAAATAGACAAGGGCCAGAGTACAGATATTTTTTGAGGCATGAGGGTCAATAAAAGTCTAGCAGTTCCCCACCCAGACTGTGAGTGGTACAGGGTAAGGGCAGAAAACATCAGAAAAGCGTAACTGCACAAATTGGCTTAGTCACATTTATACAAATTCTCATATGTTAGATTAAATATAAAAAAGCATTTAACTCAGAGCATGGTCCTTAGTAAGTGCTCAATAAACATAAAATATTATTATACACTCACACAGTATACTCATGTATAGATATGCACATACCACTTTGGGGAACATTCCAATCACTCTGCTTTCTGGATCAAAAGAAGGTCAAGGTTCAGGGGGCCATACAGCCAAGGTTCATCCTCACAAATGGCTTTTCAGCAGTGCTTTAGACATTGCAGGAAAAAGCCAAAACAAGAGACTGCAATCTGAGGATGTTCCTTCTTCTCTATCCAGCCAAGGACGGGCAAGGCTGAGGCCAGGGAGCAGAATAAGGGCCGTAGGGCTCTAGTACCAGTAAGGATGGCAAAAAGAAGTGGCCTAGGTGGAACAGTCGTTTGGGGGCCAAAAAAGACTCAGCAGTGAGCTCACAGAGCTATAGGGAGGGGCCTTTCAACACATTCCCTTGCTCAGGATTTTGCCCCTCACCCTGTTCTTCCCTAATTCTTGACAGAAGGGCTTGCTCAAATAGAATCCTTCATTGTTCTCAACCGCCCATTCTGGCTTTTCCTTCCTGGCCTTCCCACATCCATGTTTTTTCAGTTGCTGCCCACTTCCATCAGCCTCCTGAAGCTATCTTTTCAGATGTCCAGCCAGCCTTGTAGCAACAGGAGTGAGCCTTCCCTGTGGGGCATCCTAGGGGCTGCGCTGGCTCCTGACACTTACTTTACATGTCTAGTTCTGTTCAGGCAGAGTCAACACGAACCACAGATGCCTAATCTAATCATACTTGCTCTATTCTCTCATTTTGTCTCAACTACAAAGCACAATATTTAATAATCTGGTTTTACTTAAAATTATGCCTTTCTTAGACAGCTAGGAAATTGTCTTCCTTAAAACCTAGTTATTTCACCCTGAAGGATTTGCTCAAATTTACTCACTCACGGTAACATGCATAACACTGAACATATGCTCCTGAAAATGGAGACTGCTTGATAGCATGAAAATGGAAATATTTCATGAGAAGTAATACACGAATGACAAATAAGTTGACAACTACATCAAATGAAAGTAAGCAGCCCAGAAATAAAAGAAAAGCAAAATTTTGAGTTGATTCTCCAAATGAGAAATAGTCTGAGTCCTGAAAACCTACCTCTCACCATTAGGTCCCACTCTATTGATTAATTTTTCCATGGCTTCCTCTGTCTCCTTCAGTTTTTCTTGCAGTTGAACAAGCTCAAAATTGGCTGAAAAACAAACATCGATCTAAGAAGCATCATACACAACTCCCTAAGCTCCTTTCTGAGACATGGCTGGCTGTGACACTCTACAGTGCTCCAGGCTGGTCCCGAGACTCAGAGAAGAAACTAAGAGTTTCTCCAGCAAATCCAATCAGGATACAGAGGGTACTGTGGTCTGGGCATGAGGATCTAAAGGATACATGTTTAGTGAGTGATGAACAAATCACTCTCTTACACACAGAAATACAGCAGGACCAACTAAGAAAATACCTAGGAATGAAAAACATACCCCTATAGTCACCCAAGAAGAAATGAAGAAGATAAACATTCCTTTTCCCTGTTTTTAAGAAATTAAAATATAGTTAATATAAAGTATTATATTAATTTCAAGTGTACAACATTGCTAGTCGACATTAATATACCTAATGGAGTGATCACTATGCTATGTCTAGTAACAGTCTGTCATCATACAAGGTTATTATATTGTTGACTATATTCCTTATGTTGTATATTACACCCCCATGACTTTTTAATTTTATAACTAGAATTCTGTACCTCTTATTCACCTTCACCTTTTTTGCCCTTAACCCCACCCTTTTCCCCCTGGAAATCATCAATTTGCTCTCTCTATGAAACACTTTCTGTATTTTACTGTTTGTTCCTTTGTTTTGTTTTGACTTATTTCACTTAGCAAAACACCCTCTAGGTCCATCCATGTTGTCGCAAATGGCAAGATTTCATTCTTTTTTATGGCTACGCATACACACACACACACACACACACACACACACACACACACCACATCTTCTTGATCCATTCATCTATCCATGGACACTTGTTTCCATACTTGGCAATTCTAAACCAAATGATGCTTGAGGGTAAAGTACCAAACCTATAAGGTACTTTAGAGAACTAAATGAAATGAGCAATGTTTCACCTGCACCTAAGATTAAAAACATAACGGGAAGGTAACAGTTTAAATGTCACGCTTCCTCAATAGAGGAAGCCTTGAACTAGGGCTGAAACCTCCCTGTCCAATGTTTTCTGGCCCCATGTTGTGGAGTGAGGTGGTGTAGCCCTGCCTCCCAGAAGTACTTTTCTCAACAAGGGTCCATAGAGAGCACTTCTATCTACTGAAACTGACATTAAGACCCTAAAAGTAGAACAGGAAACACAAATCACTCAATCTGTACATGAAATGAACTTTAAAGCAGTAGGAAAATAAAATGTTAGATAATTATGTAGATGATCATTATGTAGATAATCTAGTTTTTCTGTTTCATACCCAGTGCCATTCTCTACCCAGACACATTTAAGGGTTATTGTAAATATAGTATTTCAAAGACCTTTCAATACTTCTGGAACAGATTCTTATTCATGCAGACACATCTATAAAGTGACTGTGCCACATAAATGCTCAAGTTATTTCTATTTTCTGCATGATTCAAAATCGAAGGATAAGGAGCTGATTTAACTGTTACTACATTATAAAACAGCTGCTCTTTGGAATTCATTTTATTTACGTCTTTCTTTTTCAAATGTATTATGTGACAGGATATAGGATTTGCTACTCTTTAAAGAGTCCACAAATCTTTTCAAAACTATTTTACTGATGCATTTACCATCATAATTAGATGTTATCTCAATTAAGATCACAACAGCATTCTTAAAGAATTCCCTGAATATTTAAGATTTTTAAAAAGGATGCAGACTGTGACTGAAATAACTATTTCCATAGAGAATCCGGAGTAAACACGAAAAGCAATGGTGGGGGAGGGCAGGTGCGTCTGTGGTCCAGCCTCACTTCATCTGGCTGATGCCCTTGTTTTAAAAACCTCTGAGGAGCTTCATTATCCACAGGAGAAAGCAATTTGGCCTCTCAGGCCTTCAACAGTATGGCCCAACCTACCCACTCTTCAGGCCTTCCTCCCCACGGCTGCCCTGTGTCAGGCGGTCACTCAGGCGTCCTCCGCGACAGGCCCCCTCCACAGGCGCCAGCCGGGCATAATTTCCCATAAGGCTTTGTCAGACCCTTCTCTCTCGGTAGTATACTTTCCACAAGTTATTTTTCCTGACATCCATCCGACACTACAAATTCTTAGAGGGAAGAACTTTGCCATATACATTTCATTTCCTCAGAGAGCACAGAATACTCTACTTGGTCAGTCAGCATGTGATGATCATGTCTGAAGAGCCAGCGTGTTAAACTCTGCCCCTAGATCTAATGGCTGACTCTGGCACTGACTTGATCTCTTGGCCTCGCTTTTCCTCTCTGTAAAATAAAGACATTTGCGATCAATATTCTGAAGTCTGGAAATGAGAAGTAACCCATTCCAAATGTGAAACATTAATCTGCTAACATAAAAAAGTGAACTGGCAGCTTTGTCCTTTTTGTAACTATCTTTCCCTTAAAAGCCAGTATCAATATGGAAACTTTGGGTAACTCCCAGAGCTGAGGTACAAATAGCATCAGATTACTTTGGGGCGGCTTCTGAGAAATGCTCTGAGGACACGCAGACTGTCCCTCGGGCTGTCCCACAGCAGTCTGCCTGGGTCACACCTGAGAGCACGCTGACAGGGCACTCACTGATTTTCCTGGGGGTGTTTCCAGGTGCGGCAGCGGAGCGATCCCGGCCCTCGGCGGCGGTCCTCCCCTTTGAAAGCTGAGGATTGAAGCAGGCACAGCACATCAACAGCAGCTCAGAACCTCAAAGTCACGGAACCCCTCATGTCAAGTGAAAAAAGACAAAGAAAAGGTCAGGAGACAAAAATTAAGTCAGAAATCCAATTGAAGAGCAACATGAGAGAAAAATCTCAAAGAAAAAAAGCCAATGCCCTGGCCGGTTTGGCTCAGCGGTTAGAGCATCAGCCTACAGTCCAGGGAGACCCAGGTTCGGTTCCCGCTAAGGGCATGTACCTCGGCTGCAGTTTGTCCCCGGCCCTGGTTGGTCGTGCGGGTGGCAGCCACTCGATGTGTCCCTTCAAGTCGATGTTTCTCTCTCTCTCTCCCTTCCACTCTATCTGAACAAAAATAGAAAAATGTCCTCAGGTGAGGATAAAAAAAAAAAAGAGAAAAAGCCAATATAAGATTTCCACGTAAAAAACCAGCAAGGCACAAGGAAAAAAAATCTCTCTACAGGTCATGTGCCTCGCCCATGCTCATCTAAGACGCAGCTCAGGCTGCCTGCAGGTTTTCTGGGCTAGGAGGAGCTCACCTCTCGCTCCAGTTAGAAGGGCAACGTGAAACACCTCCCTCCACCTCACAGCTGGGCCCTGGCCTGCTGAAGTCGACCTGGAGGTGGAGCTTAGCCGTCTACATGTAAAGGACCCAAACCATGTCCCCCAAGAGCAAGAAATATCAGGCTTAGTTTCAGAAAGACATTACAGTTCTGTTTTAGAAGAATTACTGGAGATGTTTAAAAAACAGCACTTCATACTCCTGGGGGAAAAGAAGGACAAAGTGATGTTGGTACAGTCATTATCTGGCCTCACAGTGGCCAGTTGGAAATCACTGAGCCAACCCTAACAATAAAGCTCTTCTTAGAGCAGCCTGATGCCTTTTCAGCTGGCAAAAATACCCAGTCAAATCGATAACTGGGGGTTTGAACTCCACTGCTAGCTGGATTAATAGCTAGAAGATCCAGGTTCAAGTCCTGGTTCTGCAGTTTTAGTTGTGAATTTTGAAGAAAATCATTTAAGCTCTGAATGAAGATTTTCTCATCTGTAGAACTGAAATAAAACCTATCCTAAGTATCTTATGAAGAGAAGGCAAGGTTTAAAGAGATGCTAGATTTGTAAAAGGGGTATGAACTGTAAAGGGTTTTAATACTGACAATGATTTTTATTATGATAATGTTAGATTGTCATTGTTGTATTATGATCAAGATGATTCCACTTACCTTAAATAGAATGTACAGTATGTATAAAAAAATTCCAAAACCATAGACTGGAATAATCTGCCCCATTAGGCCTCTTCCACTGCCTCCTCCTCCTCCTCCATGGCCTCCACCTGATCCTCTAGCCTTTGCAAAGGCCTCTGCAAGATGAGACCTCTGGACACGGGCTGCAGGGTTCTGGCCATCTAAGGGTGCTTGGTGATGATGCATCATAGGTGGAAATCGGCCCAATTTTCCTGAGAAAATAAATCAATCGGTCTTTATTTCTTCTACTATTTTAAATGTGGCTATTATGAAAACACCTAATGCACTGAGGTACAAATAACAGAAGCCAACTCAAACAAGTTTAAGAAAAAACAGGAACTTGGTTATAAGGATACAGAGTTATTGCACCGAAAATATGATATAGCAATCTCTAGCTGTTCACCAAACCCATTTCTTCTCTTCCTTTTGGGTCCACAGCTAGACATTTTTCAGCTTCCCATACAGTTAAACGTGGCCAAGTGACTGAGTTTCAGCAAAAGGAATGTGAGGGATATGTGTTAGTTCAAGGCCTGGCCTATAAAACCTCCCATGTATTAAACTCCATGTTCATTTCCTTTGTGCAAGCTGGATGCTGGCACCTGGGGAGGCCCTGGAGGTCATGTGATGATGAAAATGGCACAGCCTCCATCAACCTGAGTTTCTGAATAACTGTGTGGCACAGAGCCTTCGACCGCTGCCACCCCGCAAACTCAGAACCATCTGGACCTGTTCATGTGGGGAGAAGTAAACTTCCATTGCGTTAGGGCCACTGTACACTTTGGAGTACTAGAGCAGTTAGCCACCCCTAACTAATACAGATAAGGAAATGCAATCTTGTCTCAGAAGAAATAGAACTAGAAACTGGAAAGCCATCAGGATCCAGGACAGCTACTCTTGCATTCTATCTCATCTTTTTTTCTCCCTCTCTATAGGACCACAAGGCATTTCCCCCCATTTTCTCTGTGCATGTCTTCTTCATTCTCCTTTCTCTGCAGACCATTTCTTTAGCTTCTTTGGGAACATGGATGATGGTCATCCCCAAGCCCGTCATTTGCATGTCCTTCAAGAGGCCAGCAGAGCCTGGTCACAATTCCAAATTCCTGGAGGGAGATTCTGAATACTCAGCTTATGTAGTTATGCATCCCTTTCCAACCAGCTGTAGCTGAGCAATCAGGATTCATGTAGTACAAACAGGGTCAACAGGAGTCCATCCTTGTGAGAGCAGAGCTTAATGGAAAAGAGGATGTTGGTTTTCTTGCATTTCTTTTCCTCCATCAGAAGCAGCCAAACATTAACACCAACTGCCAAACCTACTGAGAGCCAGAGGTGAGAAAGGGAAGACAGCTCTTCAAAAGGCCACGTAAACAGGCTTGTGTGTAAAAACCATAGGGAGATAAAATTATAAAACAGAGAACACTAGAAGTGTAAAGACTTCATAAATCAGACTCTCAAAATACAAACGGTACAGTGAAAAACTATTGGATTTGACGTCAACAAAATTACTGTTCAATAAAGAATACCACGAACAGAGTTAAGATAGATGATGGCAAGGAAAAACTTCTGCAACATCTAAAATTGACAAAGGATTAAAATACCTAGGATAGACGAGAAATTCCTACAATTAAATATGAACACCACAGGAAACCCAACAGAAAAGTAGTTAAAAGATATGAATAGGGAACTCGTAGAGAGAAAAACTTACATGATTAAAAAAAGTATGAAAATTACATGGAGATGATCAAAGCAAAACCAATGAGTAAAATATAAATATATTATAATAAAATATAAATGAGATAGCCCTTATACCTTTCAGAAGGGAAGAAGTGAGAATGGTGGACAATAATAAGGATTGGCAAAGATGCGGGGAGGCAAGAACTCTCAGGCACCGTGCAGTGAGTGTAAACTGATGCAGTCATTCTACTAAGTGAACTGGCTGTAAGTATGTCTATGCCCTATGATCCAGTGATCCTACTCTGGTGCATAAATTCCAGAGAAATTCTCAAAGAAGGCTGTCTATATCCCAATTTGAATTGTAAACTTTATAGATGTGTGTGAGAGTGTTTACGGTGATGATGTTGTAGCAGAAGGCTTGAAGAAAACTTTGCTTTCCATAACTGGAAGAATGAATAATCAATATGGAATGGATACAAATATAGAATTCTATGTAGCTTTTAGAAATCACATTTCAGATGTACCTACAGCAACATGAGTACATCTTTAAAAGCACAGCACTGAGTAAAAAATAAGCAAATACCATCATGCAATCTGAAGACACACCAGTTATGCTATATATTTTTAATCTCCCTCTCTGTTTCTTTTTTATTTTATTTTATTATTTTTAATTTGCCTTTATTGTTGAGAGTATTACAGATGTCTCCCATTTCTCCCCCCATCACCCTCCTCCACCCAGCTCCTGCTATACTATATCTTTTCAAGCAAATATGTAGAGGTGTAAGGACATAAAACAAATATAATAGAGTGGGTGCATATTAATGGGGGTGGGGAAGGTAATGGACATGAGGATTGATGATAAAGGGTTAAAAAAATAAAAGAAGAATGGAAACTTGCACTGATGATGTTAATAAGGTGCTATGAAATAAGGATTATCTTTAAGTCAGCCTCTCTGCTCCTGGCGTAAGAAAGCAGGTTGGTGGGCAGGCAGGGAGGTAAGACAGCTGGCCACTGGACCCAGGGGCTGCCGTCTGCCTTGAATCAACCCTCAGCCAAGCTCCATTCCTCCTTTCCCAAAACTGACTTTGGAGAATATGGAAATAATGGGGGTGGTGGGAAAGCTTCTAAGAGGTCAGCAATAGAAGCACAGCTTCAGGCAGTAGAAGGAAGCCAGGCAACCAGTCCTTATTCTGGCTGCTGTGAACTTGTTAAGGATCTTACTCTATTAACTGGTGAGTACTGTACACTTTAAAGCTCTACTGCACCTTCCAAAAAATGTCTAGCCAGCATGCAAGCAGCTAACCTCCCTCCCTCTCGAATTAGATATGTAGAGTAGCTAGTGTTCAATAAACTAGATTTAATATTTGTAGTAATACGTCAAACTTCATTTTACTGTACTGAGAAGACACTTTAAAATCTGGCTTAAAACAAAAAATTAAAACCAGGTAATGGCACAAAAAGCACTATTTTTCATTTCTAAAAGTAAAAAATGATGATGATGTTAAACAGTATACATCTTCCCTCAAAACTGGTACAGGTCTGTCAGCCAGGAATTTACTGGACATCTATTAAATGCAGGGCTCTGGGCTATATATAGGCAGAAAAGAAGGAAAGCCATAGATGAAATGGAAACTTGTCCCCACCTGGAACAGTGCTTTGAAAAAGGAGCATATCCAAAACAAACAACAAAAAAAGGGCAGAGTATCATGGATCTTATTACTAGACAAACCAAATGTCTAAGTATTGAAAAAAATACAAAAAGGAAAAACAAGAGTGAAATGGGATCAACCACTGACTGGAACAAGACTCAGAAAAGCAGAGAGGCAAAGGCACACCAGGAGGAAAGAAGAATGTGTGCAATGAGAAGAGATGAGAACAATGAAGTAAGAACAAAGGATAAATAAAGCTAACTACCAATTAGTTTGGCTCCATTTAGAGAAGAAATAAGCACTACAAAGAGGGAAGTGGAGGTGTAGTGTTTAAATTTGATACTGGGGGTCTAGGATCAGGGAAATGATTTAACAAGAGAGGTGTTTGAGGGGAATTAATCTAGCAGTTGAGTATAGGGCCTAACACAGAGAGAAAGTAGAGTTCGGGAAATCAGCAAGAAGGGAGTAACTTAGCTCTGAGATACTGGAGGTCTAGGATCAAGGAAATGATTTAACAAGAAAGGTGCTTGAGGGAAATTAATCTAGCAGTTGAGTATAGGGCCTAACACAGAGAGAAAGTAGAGTTCGGGAAACCAGCAAGAAGGGAGTAACTTAGCTCTGAGATGCAAGAGCCTACTGAACAGAATACAGAGCTAAGTGGGTAGTGGGTAAGAAAACTCCAAAGTCAGGAGTTTAAGGTGCTTAGAGAAGACAACGAAGAAAGTGGGAGGGCTTATGAGAAGACTGAGTATACATTTTTCACATGTTAAATTCCAGGTTGGTAACACATTCAGAATAAATTGTTATTAGACTACAGTTGGGCTTGAGAAGAAATAAATGACAAAGCTAATTAAAATTAGGTGAGTGAACTGTTCCCCTAACAAATAGGCTGGAGAGATATGTGTACTTATGTGTAAAAAGCAGCAGGAAAAAGCCCAGGCAGGTTTGGCTCAACGGTTGAAGCGTTGGCCCCTGGACCAAAGAGTCGCAGGTTTAATTCCAGTCAAGGGCATGTACTTCGGTTGTAGTTCAGTCCCCAGCCCTGGTCAGGGACATGTGAGAGGCAACCAATCGATGTGTCTCTCTCACATCGATGTTTGTTTCTCTCTCTCCCTCCCTCCCACTCTGTCTGAAGATAAATGGAAAAATATCCTTGGGTGAGAAATTTTTAGAAAAAAGATCATCTAGTCTTTCTCAACAAATGGTTTGGGGACAACTAGATATCCAATGCAAAAGGATGAAGTTGACCCCTTAATTCATTCACACCATATTAAATTTAAAAATTAACTCAAAATGGATTAAAAACCTCAATGTAAGAGCTAAAACTACAAAACCCTTAGAAGAAAACAGACATAAACCATCATTACCTTGGATTAGGCAATAATTTCTTAGATACGACACCAAGCACAAGCAATCAAAGGAAAAGATAGGTAAATTGGACTTCTTCAAATTTAAAAATTTGTGTGCTATAAAGGACACCATCAAAAAACTTAAGACAACCCACTGAATGAGAGAAAATATTTGCAAATCATTTATCTGATAAAGGTCCTACCACTCAACAATAACAATAAAAATAACCCATTTAAAAATGGCCAAGGGCTCTTAATAGACATTTCTTCAAAGCATATAAAAAGCTAATAAGCCCTGGCTGGTTTTGCTCAGTGGTTAGAGCATCAGCCCATAAACAGCAGGGTTGCAAGGTCAATTCCTAGTCAAGAGCACATACCTGGGTTGCAGGTTCCATCCCCACCCTGGTCAGGGCACATGCAGGAGGCAACAAATCAATGTCTCTCTCACATCAATGTTTCTGTTTCTTTCTCTCCACCCCCCTTCCACGCTCTAAAAATCAATGGAAAAAATATCCTTAGGTGAGGTTTAACCATAAATAAATA